TTTTCTTTTTCTTATTTTTATTTTCTCTTATCACGTCTATTTTATTCTTGGCCCTTACATATGTAAACTGATACTGGATAGTCTTGACAAGGAATTGCTTCCGATCATCTTCCCACGCAGGAGACACTCTAGCATCATCTCGTCCTGTCCAACTACCATTCTCCCTGACAAAGCACATCGCAGATTTGATCATTACTGGTTACACCTGCAGTAGTATCCAGAGTTGCTGCACGCTCTTCCGTAGCCTGTAAGCCTGTAACTGAAACCTGTATGATGAAGGTTGCTCATCTTCTGGGCCCCCACACCGACGTCCTGAACCTTTTACTCTTTTCATCTTGGTGGCAGATGGTTCCATGTATCTACGATCTCTCTGACTGGACTCCATACATTAATCCCAAACGATCAGCATCTGACCGGTCCTCCGCCGTGGCGTTCGAGCATCTCGGCGTGCCAATCTTCAAGCAGTGGGCTAGTCTTGATCTATCTAGTTTCCCTATTTTCATGATGATGATGGTCCCTTCATTTTTTGATTATTTTATTTTTATTTTTATTATTTATTCTTTATTATTACGATCTCGTCTATTTTACTAATCACTGCCTATCGAGGTAGCTACTTTATTCTGATTTTAATAGTAGTTTGTTTTCTTTTTGCTGTCGTGGATTTTTCTTTTCCACACGATTGTTCACCTCTTCCTAAAGTGCCCACTGCTCAACGGTTGAGAAAGGGAGAAGAGAAGTGACTAAAAAAACCGGTGGCTGCATTTTCAAAGCCGTCCTGATTTCTGACTGACTGATTTAATCCTCCGTTGCTCCTGTTCCTGTCACTCTCGCTTGATCATCTCCTCCAGTATCCGTCCTCCTTACTCCATACTGGTTCAAAACGCGAACCCGACCCCAAGGGTGTTGCCGTTTTCTCGTATTCTCCACGTGCATCTGCTCTATATCTTCATTCCTCCACCTGGGGCTTGCGGCTCGAGGTTATTTTTGGAGTCTTCTCATTTAACCTTGTCCCGGATCGACTATATACTTCCCCTCCGTCGTTTCATCCGCCTTTATTCTCGTCCTTGCTCCAAGCGTCCGACGCCCCAACGCCAGAGCGAGAGGCAAACTTACTTATACTTTGTCCATTGATCATCCTACTTATATTTCTTCTTTTTCACTTGGCCAAAGATCTTTTGTCCACTGTACATCATCCTCACCTGGCTGTCGTTGGTAGCCTTCTTCCTAGGACATCATCCTCAAGCTCAACATCTATAATCGCCCCCCAATTCTCACCAGACACAATGGCCGGTCCTGGTGGTGGTCCTCCTCGCAAGAGCCATACCAAGTCAAGGAATGGCTGCGCTACTTGCAAGAGACGACATATCAGATGCGATGAGACCTTCCCACAATGGTAACGCACGCCGGCTACTGTGTACGCTGTCCGTTGCTAATTCCTGAGTAGTCGAAACTGCACCAAGCACAATTGCCGTTGCGACTACATGGATGTTGCTCTTGCACGCGAGCAATCTAACAAGGCCCGCAAAGCCCCCGACCTGCTCATGTCGCCTGAGATCGAGATGGAGATTGAGAACTGGCACGTCACAGGAGTGCCTCCCTTCCCAGAACTGATGCACTACCCTCGGAATGCATGGTACAAATTGTTCAGGTCAGACTTGCGCTTGATTCATCATATCATCGGATTGTCCATCGATCTTCATCGCCGTGGTTTCGGAGAGTGTACAATTTGGGCTCAGAAGATGCCACTGTAAGGCCTCCTTGATGAGAATGAGCAAGAGCGTTTCTAACGATCTTCATAAGTTTTCTGTCCCTTGCTCTGTCCAACGACTTCGTGATGAGCTCCATCCTGACCCTGTCGGCTTCCCACCTGGCTTTCATCACGCGGAATCAGGAGACCAAGCAGCTGGCATATCATCATCGTGGTATCGCAATCAAGGGTCTGCACAAGGCCATTGGCTCATTCTCAAAGGAGAACTGCGAGGCCATTCTAGCTTCATCTATTTTGCTCTCCTGGCAAGCATCTGATTGGCAAACATGGGCATCCTTACAGCAAGGCCTTACTACGGTGAGTTGTCATACTGCCGACGTATATAACGAAACTAATTCGAACAAGGTCTTGAATGCGATGCACCCCATCTGGAAGCATGAGTCCGAACTAGCCGTGCTTCTCGAGAACCAGAGATATCTGGGCTGCACAAACTCGCCAGTTATGACAGGATACCGCTTTGAGGATGCTGATCTGGCCAGCCTCGACCAGACTATTGTGGCCCTCCAGAGCGTACAGAAGCGGGTTGTTCAGAACCACGAGTACTACACTCGGATTGGAGAGTTGCTCGACTTTGTGCGCAACTTTCAGATGGATCTTCTGTCGCAGACACCCGAGCAAGCATTCGAGCGTGTTCAACCGCTACGCAGATGGCTATTCTGGCTCCCCGCCGCCATGCTCCGCGGTGGTGATGCAGATATCGGCGCTCTGGCTATTCTTGCACAGTTTTACGCCGTTGGAGTCGCCTTGGATAGCTTATTTCCTGATATGGGGGGTGCCTACCTGGGCCCGCTGTCAGTCGGACCTGTGGAGGAGATCTACCGGATTGTCGTGACAAGGAGCACAGCAGATCCCTTCAGTCCTGAACTACAACTTGCCATGAGCCTCATGGACCTGCCCCGGCATATCGTTGCTAGATACAAGAGCCGTCTTCAATGGTCACCACGACATTCCCTCGATCACTGCTCTCCCACGCCCCCAGCCCATATCGCAACTACCACGACTACCGCCTCGCATCTTCATCCTCACCCTCTGCGACCTCAGCCACCTATGCACCATATACGCCGCCTCTCGAATCTCCTCTCCATTCGCCTCCTGCGGTGACGATCGCGAGCTCGCCGTTCGACGCTGCAGGAGCCTATGTGACAGCTCCGATGTCACATACTCTCTACCCGCCATCTCCTCGACTCCTGTCCGAGCCCAGCTCGCTTCAGCATTCGCCTGCTTTTGCACCGCCTTACCTCGAGAACATGCTTTGCGGAGAAATGTCGCGGGCGGACGGAACCCTCGATCTTAGCATCGGACTCTACGACGATGCTCATTCGATGCACATTGCCGGGCTGACCGCCACGACGGAGGCCTGGAACGGAACCATCTGCACCTGATCCTTTTTTCTACTCTCACTTCTCAAATCCTCTTTTACACTTTTTTTTTTTTCGCAGGCCGACTTACGAAAACGCATTTGATTGAGCATGGGCGAATAGAAGGCTACTTCTTTTTTTGTACACTTTTGGATTTGTGGCCGTTTTCTTTCTCTGATGGATCATTTTGTCGCGATTTGATTTGTCTTGCATATTTGTTTTTGAGTTTCACATACCCCACATTCGCTACGAATGATTTGTTTGATTTGCAGGACTACTTTATCCAGCATACAGGAGGAAAATGCGGGGAACGAGGATGAAGCCAGGAATGGATGGATTTGATACCAAGATAGCAATATACCCTACTCTCGTTTGACTTGATTGGAGAATCGCACACATTGTTGTTATAAAAATAAAAATAGGATTCGATGTATGATACAGCGGAGTGAATAGCACGATTGTTCGAATAATTCGAATTTTGTACAGAGGTAGTAAGATGAAATCACAAGACTAAGCATGCAGGATGTCGATCTGGAAATATCCGCATTCCCCAATCCCAGCCCGCACATGTGGATGGATATTTTTAGACACACCGTCATAGCTATTTTACCTATCTACAAACCCTATCTTCACCAGACGACACTGAAACGACAACTGACCATTCGCTGAATGAGCCAAGCATTTGAAACCCGAACCTAACTGGAAATACTTGATCGACTCGTTACCCTACAATAATGTCATACTCTCAGTCATACAAAGTTAGCTCCAGCCTCCACCTATATTTGGCAACCCATCGCGACACAAACCGTCTGGCGTCCCCATGTGCTTTGACCCTGATCGTCAATCGATAATCTTCAGCGTTTTATCTGCTTCTTACTGGCTGATAGGGTTGGAAGGCTAGTCTACCCTTTACTGAAAATGGGGAAACCTCGTATTCGGTAAATGGGCCCTGTATGTGAAGCGAAGACCTTGCCTCGGAGTCTTGTGTCAGCATATGACGATATGTCAACTTTACCAGTAGAGGGGTAAGGTAGATAATCAGGTGGGTCGATGGGGTCTGATTTTGCTTTATTTTTGTTTTGATTTTGGTGTTTCAGGTTTCGAGTTTGATATATACTTTGTACTTGATGGGATGATGTTAAGAGTTAAGGAAGGTGCTATCGGAGTCACTCTGTTTTGGTCTTGTTCTATTCTTGCTTCACCTGTGTACTTTTGCATTTCTATAAACAGGTACTGATAAGGATTAGTGGGTGATGGTCGATGGGGTGACTTCCGGGTACCTGGTATTTTGTGGAGCTGGGACTGCTGGGTGGGTTGACTTGATCAACCAGAGAACGGGCAGACTCTCAGTAGCAGTGTTTCTCGTTGAAAAGTACTACATCAGCGTGCTTGAGATCTTATGATGCCTGAGCAGATAGACCTGTCCTCTTAGAGGTGATGAGCGATGCTCATCACGGTAATAGAGGATATACAGGTAGGTGTCCTGCTTGGAGCTTCAACCCGTGAAGTAGAGAAAGCCATGCATATCAGTTAGAAAGAACACATTTACACGTGCTACATGTCATGGATGACTTTCATCATATCAATCACTGCTTGTGATCATCGATTGCATCGCAACAAGTTGAGTGCCGAGCCTCTGAGAGGATGGAGCTTGTTTGCATCGCAGCCAAACATGCCTCTTTGGGCTATCTTACGTAGGACCTAGCAGTATCATCGCAAGCCCCAAAAGTCCAAACAATCGACTATCTATCATACCTTCACTCAATCTTCAAAACAGCACCATTCTATCCGCTGGTCATTCAAAAGCAGTGACCGCTACTCACATCATTACCTACTTCCCCCATACAGTCCCCGGATTTTACCTGATTCCTGACATGGCCGACGGCGGAGGCTGGAGCACGATCGAGTCGGATGAGGTATGTTCAACTTCTTCTCCCCAAACATGGACCTCAAGTCTAACGCGTCCAGGGCGTCTTCACCTCCCTGATCGAGAATCTCGGCGTCAAAGACGTTCAATTCGAGGAACTCATCTCCCTCGACGCAGACACAATCCGCTCACTCAGGTAACCACCACTCCCTCCCATGAAACAACCAGCCAAGACACTCACCATCCTACTCCGTGAGTCCTTACAGCCCCGTCTACGGCGTCATCTTCCTCTTCAAGTGGATCCGCGAACCCCCCTCAACAAACACCACCCAACCCCTCGACGGCACCTACGTCACCTCCCTCCCCGAAAACCTCTTCTTCGCCGCCCAAACCATCCAAAACGCCTGCGGCACCCAAGCCATCCTCTCCGTCATCCTAAACCAGGACTCCCCGCCTCTAGCCCCTACCCCATCAGCATCGGGCCCGAGCTCCGCTCCTTCAAGGACTTCACAACTGGCTTCCCGCCAGACCTCCGCGGCGAGGCCCTCTCCAACTCGGAGACCATCCGGACCGCGCATAACGCCTTCGCGCGCGCCTCGCCCTTTGTCGATGAGACCGTGCGCACGGCGCAGGACGAAGAGGCGGATGTCTACCATTTCATTGCGTATACGCCTGTCAACGGGGTGCTGTATGAGCTTGATGGGTTGCAGCCGTATCCGATTAGTCATGGCGAGTGCGATGCTGAGACGTTCCCCGAGAAGGTGATCGAGGTTTTGCAGCGGCGTATTGCGCGGTATCCTGAGGGGGAGACGCGGTTTAATCTTATGGCAGTGGTGAGGGATTTGAGGGTGCGCGCCCGGGAGACGGGGGATGTGGAGCTGTTGGAGCGGGAGGCGAGGAAGAGGCGCGCGTGGGCGTGGGAGAATACCCTGCGCCGGTGGAATTTTGTTGGGTTCATTGGGGAGATGATTAAGGGGGTGGTGGGGATGAAGGAGAAGGAGGGGCCTGGGGCGTATGACGCGTGGGTGGAGAAGGCGAAGCAGGAGACTCAGAAAAGATTGTTGAGTCGGAGAGGTTGACCATGAATGATCTCCATGATAGTTTATGAGCAAAAATGGATGATATAGCGCCATTGATACAGAAGCTAGCCGTCACAAATGAACGTAATGTACAGGTACATCGAATCATGAACAAGTCAAGTGCAGTACCGCCAAAGAACCATGTAGCTTCGTATCATCAGTCATGAGTCGTCATAATTAGCGAGAACAAAAATCCACTCCCTCAACCCCAAACTAATACTCGATCATGCGAGGCTTGATATGCTCGACCATCTGAGGCGGGAGCTCATCCTCCCGGACCAAATTCAGCGCAAGGAGATCCGCCCAGAAGAACATCGCCCGATCCTGCGCGTAGGCAAGATAGTCAAACTCGTCCGCCTCGTCCACGTCCGCGTCGACTGGAGGTTGCGCTGGTGGCTCAGCAGCTGCGACTGCTGACCCGTTTGAATCACTGCTGTGACCGTTCCCATTAGACGCTTTCGCCGCTGCGACCGCCGCAATCCCCTCCTCCATGCCGGGTACCTTGGCCTGTACAATTCCCCAGGCGACCCACTGAGCAGAGTTGAACACGCGCCAGAGTCTCGTCTGCTTCATCAGGAAGTGGAGCTCGGCCTCCAGGCTATCTTCCTGCGACTTCTCGGCCTCCAACTGGCCCTGGAGGTCTGCTTCGGTGGTCGAGTCGAGGTCCAGAGGCGCCAATGAGGTCATGGTCGCCGAGTTTTCTCGCATGAGGGGAGTGATGGACGGAGAAGCGGCCGACCGCACTCCTGGTCTATGGGTCAAGTACGAGGCGATGAACATGCGTTGCTGCTCGGGTGTTGGATAGTGTCGGTTGTTGCACGCCCAGGCTCTCTCAGGGTCGTGGTAGTTATAACACCATTCGCTCTGCATTTGAGTCAGCTGAGGCGCTCTTAACGTCGTCGGTCTACACTCACAAAATGGTTCGCAAACTCAAACCCCGGGGTATTTGCCGAAGCATACTCAAAGTCAATTACCACCAGTTGCTTGTGCTTGTTTTCAGGCAAAAGAAGCGGCGATTCGGAGGCGGGTTCCATTCGAAGCAGATTGCCATATTGAGTCTGACCCGATTAGTCAATGGACAATCGAAGACCGAATGCAAATGCCGAAAGGAATGACCTACATCATTGTGGGCAAAAACCAACTGCCGCTTGATCTCATTGATCCCTCCGCAGCTGGATACAAGCCATTTCCGGTAATTTTCGACGGCCTTTCTGAAGATAGGCCACGGAACACCACAAACAAACCCGCGACGGCGCCAGGGCTCCGAAGCTGCCTTGGCCTCGTTGTGCTCAGACTGGATTTCCATGTCGAGCCAGTTAATGACTTGCTCGCAGCGATCAACCCACTTGTCCCAGTTCTTGAAGACCACCGGGCCGCCTTCTCTCTCCTCTTCAAGCAGTTCGATCCCTTCGTGCAGCTCGCGCATACGTTTCGCAATCTGCTTCATGGTCTCCGGAACACGCAAGTCCTTGGGCGTAAGTGGACGCGCTTCGAAAAACTCCTCGAATCGACCGTTGTTGAACGTTCCCAGTAACTTGGGCCCAATGTTCTTCCGGCCTAAGCGGCGAAGAATCTGCAGCTCGTTCTCTCTGTCAATCAAGTGATCCACTTGCGGACCATAGATACGCAATAGAAGCTTTCTACGAGAATCATGTTAGCACTTATCGCCATGTAAGGCAGAAGCGACAGAAGACTTACGGCGGGGGCTTTCGGGGAACAAGAGAATAAGATCCATCCTCGCCCTTAGGCGGAGGGAGGGATTTTGGTGGGTTGACCACATACACAGCGTTGGTCAAGGCACCACTCAATCTAATTACCTCAATCTCGCCAGCAAGCTCCTGAGGAAACTTTCGCCAACCTTTGAGTTGAAGCGTAATGGCAAGGCGAACGATCTCATTCTTGAATGTCAACCAAGCTTCCTTATCCTTCGATCGTCGATCGTCCTCCTCGGCGGTCCCGCCTGTGTATGCGAGCGTCTTGGAATTGTCCAGTACTGCATCAACAGCGGGAACAGCCGAGTCAAGATCATACTGATCGGATTCGGATGCAGAGCCTCTCCGCAGACCCTTGATGCGGGAACGCTTCCGGGTTGGTCCCCGTAGGGGATAGACCGAGGAGGAGCCCTCAATGCGAGAAGCGGCGTACCGAAGGAGAATCTTTTCGAGCCTATCGAGAGCAAATGCATTTTCAGAATCGTAAGGTGCGGTCTTATCGAGAATACCATCGTAGTAATCGTCGTCGCCATCGCTTTCGACACCCTCGCCTGTCCCTTTCAACTTTGACCGGCGGGTCTTTTGTTTCACTTTCTCTTGCTGGAGCCACTCATATACTTGGTGAAACAGGCCATCGTGAGCGTTCTCTTCGCCGGTTTTCGCACCTTGCTCTTTCTCACACTGGCTCCGACATTCGCTTATGACGCTGGGTGTCTGCGATGTATGATACAATGGGGTTCGAGCCGTGGGTTTCTTGGCCACTGGCGCGCGGTGCTGCTTGGAAGGACTACCTTCAACCGCCGCAATTGCTGTGCTCGCGTGCCCATTCTCAGTGAGAATCTTCTGAAAAGAAGAGATATTAAGGCCAGTTCCCAAAATTGGCTTCACCCCTTCTAAGAATTGGTCAGATCCCATCATATTTCCTAATCAAAGGTACGGGCAGAGCAAGGAATATTGGTGGTGGATGCATGGGAGGTAATTCATAAAAGCTGCTTTGGGTAGACGTCGTGAACAGGCCATGTGCTCATGTGATCTCGGGACGGTTGAGCCTCGACCGACCAGAAGTACTACTGAGTACCAACTACGAAGGGAAAGCCAATTGACAACAAGAATAAAAACGTTTATCAGGGCTTAAAAAGTTAAATTGTACGCAAGGCAGACACCTACCTTCAGTCTCCAGACCAGAACCACCGCGCGGGTCGGCGAAGGAGGGCATGTCCGACAGTCCAGGAGGCGGTCGAGAACCCCAGCTCTCGAAAAGACAGGACGTTGATGAAATGACCAATAGAAAGTTTTAGAGCTGTCACATACAGACAGGAGGCCGGCGACACTCTTGTTTGGGGCGATTGGTTCGAAGGTCTCCAAAAAGAACACTGAGGTTCAAGCAACGTCGGAACGCAGTTTGGGCAGAGTAGAGACGCTCGCGAATCACCCGCTGGATAGACGGAGAAGGCCAGTGAAGAGTTTGGGAAGAAAGAGAATAATAGTAGCGGTCTAGTGGGGAGCCGGCAAGAGAAAGAGACACGGTTTGATTCTGGAAGCGGTCGGGAATTATTCCACAATTGCAGAGTGGATTCTCCTGGTGGGAACCACTTTTTAGAGAAGCCAAATCGCTGTTCGGGGATACTAGACGGAAGATCCAGATTGCTTGAGCAGACTGACCACCAGAACACAAAATATAAACAGATGCGACAGACTGATAAATAATATGGAGGAGAAAAAGAGAAATGGTGACGGAAATCATCTGGTTGGGAAGAAGGAAAAGGGAGTGGCGAAAAAATCCGCCCAAAAAGTCGCTTATCAGGCCAGAAAAGACTGTTGCCTCAGGTGACTACTTTCCCTTTCCAGGTACCTCATGAGAAGGATACACGAGTACCAATCTCCAGGAGATCATCGTCTAGACTTGCCTTCCGGTAAGCAAATGAACAGCTTCTGCAACGCCAATGTCCGCTTAGTCCAGAGCCAGTGGCTTGTTAGAGACAATTACACATTGGCCTAGCGTGTGTTGCACACTCGTGACTTGTTCAGCCGAAGCAGGTATCATCTTCCTTCAGCAGGCGTCAGATAAGAACAACGTCAAGATAGAGATAACCTAGCTGTCCGCTATCTCGGATGCTTCCAATGATCTGCAATGCAGATACTGATAAGCCTAGCAGGATTACCGAATGATTCTGACTGGCGCATTGGGGTTCGTTGCTCTGGGACTCCGGAATCAATTCCCCAGGGGCAGAAAAATAAGCTTGGCCCCGCAATAAGCTGGTTACGTGAGCGGTCTTAAAACAATCCAGTTGTTCATTATTCATCCATAATCATACTGAGATTTGTCGCATGGGGTTTTGCATCTGTACGAAAGGCCATAGTAAATGACTGAGCTGCTTGGGAACATCTGGCGTGGTAAGGACAAGTGGTTGTCAACAGAAGAAAAGACACTGAGGGAGGGGAAACAAGGGATTATATACGTTCGTGGCCTGAAAAATGCCTGGCTTGCAAGGCGGCCAAGCCAGAATCACGTTCCACGTATGGCGCAATCACGACTCCAATCACAACAATCCATATACTACAGTAAACATTATTCTCATTCGTCCCAATGCTGTGTACTGCAGGTCTCTGACCTAGTCATACCCTTCATACCAATCCTAGTTGTGGTAAGTTACACTCCACACCTTGAAGCCAGACTTTCCCCGTAACCCGACCTCATTTGATCCAGTAGCATACTCCAACGCGTAGCCTTGACCATTGCCGAGGAAAGTGATCTTAACTTGAGCCGCCTGGTCATTGCAGTTGGCTGGTAGAAGGGTACCACGTGGTCCCAGCTATTTACCATCCAGAGCACTGGAGATCAGGAAAAGCCCGCTCTCCTCGCCATTCGAATAGTGGATCACGTATCGCTTTTTCTTTTCGCTGTGATCAGGAACGGCTGGACTTATGCTCAGATGAGTGGCATTGCCGGCATTTGTGAGTGCGTAGCCGGCTTTTTCAAACACCAGGTAACGATCTTCGGTTAAGGTAACCAACGCATTCCTTGTATCCATCCTCGAGCCACAAGGCTTTGGAGGTGTCATTCTGCTGCCCGTACGGGACAGCTGGTCGTTGAACCAGATATTTGGCTTGGCAATTGGATATACCGACATACGAGTTGCCGACCATGGCGGGCGCATCGGCATTTGGAATATGAGGGATACTGTAATCAGGCTATCAAATTGTCAGTAGCATCACCGAAGCAGATTGCACTCCCGTGGCCTACATGATCCAAATCCAAAGCATTGACAAGGTTGGACATATGTTCCCGATGCCAGTGCACCATCTGATCGGTCTGATGGTTCTTGTATCCGCGAGCGGTCAGCCATTGTTCCAAGAACAGGATCTGTGAGTTGTGGTCTGCTCGCTCGGTGAACACACGGCCGCCCTGGTCCAAGGAGACACCATATAGAAGGGCAGTCGAACGCCTGCGAGATACTAACCATCAGTACAGTCCAGATTACAATGACACACGGAGAATCTCCAGCTCACCGGGTCCGACAAAGATCTGTCCGAATTTGCCGTACGGGTCCTCCATCCATTCTCCCGGAGTACCATCCGGGGAGTGGAAGGGCACGGCATGGTCTCCAAAGCCACCAGACTCTAACGACTGCGTCATCGTCAACCGTTATGAGCGGCTAATGTTTTCATACCATCGTAGCTGACGATCAGCAGTGTGGAGTTATACTTGGGGCTGTTCACGACCGAGCCGACCACCTTCTTTTGAAGCCATGCTCCGTCCTTTGGCATGTACGGGGATTCTCGGACAGCTCTGCAGGACCGACGAAGATCCACTGGTATAGCTGCTTCATTGCTGTATCGTGTCATGAAGTGAATGGGTTGGGAGGGTCATAATTGTCAAGGACGATGAGATCAGACATGCAACTCTCTGTAATAGAGAGAAGTGTACAGTGATGCCGAGTAAGGTAGGCTTGGGTAAAATTATTGAACAATGAAAGAAGTATCTGAGTGCAAAGAGCCAGCTTTTGATGAAGCTTACTAGAAATCTACCTAGCCATCCGATATTGGTATCACCTGTCCATTTCCCATTCTGCGTAATCAGACAAAACCGTCAATTGGCCGCACGTCGATATCAAGACATCAAAAGAACGAAACAAATCACAACACCAGACACCACGCGGTAAGAATAACCCATAAAACTACACAGATCGTGATCATAAAGCCCATTTAGGTAGAAGCGGAAGCCCACTCAACGACCTCCAACGCACACATGACAAGTATGAGGGTCGAAGGGAGAATCCTAGGATCTGTTAGTGTCTGAACCTTGAGCTTGAGCATGCAAGTAACTTACCAAACAACATAGCTCTGGAACAGAAGCTTCGACATGGCAGAGACGTATACATTATTGATCTGGCAAATCTGTGCCAGTTGCAGAGCGGACGGAGCTCCAGTAAGCAAGAAGCAGACGATTATGAAGATCGGATCGCCCAAGATACTTATAGGGACGTGTTTAGCGAGCAGAGCAAGGAGAGGTGCCATAATCAAGGTTGGCAGGAGCATGCGTGCCACGAGCGAGGCAATGATGAGCTTCTTCTCTTCCTTGGGATGCTCCATGTCTTCGAGTGCTTCTTGGGACAGAGTGTTTCGTGCGAGGTTGGCTCCTAGGACGACCAAGATCAAGGGTACAGCAACTTGAGCATTCTGGTTGATAGCTCGGGTGACCGAATTGTTCACGAAAGTATCCTCGTCGAAGAACAAGTGCTGTAGGGACGGCACGGATGCCACGATAATAGACACAAGCATAGCCCAGAGAGGAGGATTCATGAAGTCCCATAGGCCACGGAGAAACCTTTTAATGCCGCGAGCGCAAACAGACAAGGGCTTCTGTACACGGCTCGGAAGTCGACTGTACACTGCGTTTGTGCTCTTCTCCCAGCCGCTCGCGATACAGCTTGTCATGCGACCACGGCGTAGCCCCAGATACTCCTTGACTCGTGTGAACGGTCCCTTTTGGTGCCGGTGACCTTCATGCGACAACTCAACGTTCGGAAACAATAGGATATGGCCTCCAGTACTTTGGCGCGGAAGGAATGGTCCGCTTGGGGAGGCCCGATCAGGGAAGGGTGGCGGTCTGATTCATTGTTTTCTTGGCCATGAGTGGGCAGCTTCGTATAGGAATACGTCTGAGCTGTCACAGGGGTCTGTTCACCGGACCTGAACTCATCCGTGTCACCGGAAGAGCCCGCTGCATGGTGGCCAAGACTATCAGAGCTTCGAGTTCTGACAAGTGGCTCATCTGGGTCGGTTTGGTTCGGGTTGTCGCTGTAGCGTTCCTGCCCTTGCTCAATCCGGGTCACACCGTCTTCCCTATCTGCCTCTTCCAGGTAACGTTCCTTCGGAGCAAGAAGGACATGATAGCCCCAACTCCAGCGCACGAGCTGACCTAATTGCTGAAATATGAGTAGGTATAGAATTCCACGGGCCGCCACTTCGTCATCGTTGTCATTAGGGACTTTGCTCCAGTGAAGGCCTTTTAGGGTCTGCGAAAGCGACATGACGAGGGAAATAGGTAGGGAGTTCGAGTTACCGAAGACCTGTCAATAAAGGAGGTTAGATAGGGAATGTGGTGAAAAGATTTCGGAATACGTACAGCCATTGCCGCCACAAAATTGGCCTGTCGTTTTTTGAAGCGGAAACATCGCGATATAACCCAAGCACATGAATAAGAGACGAAGGTCTGAAGGATGAAGATAAAGGGGATGATGGCAAGATCAGTGATTTTCTCGGCCGTCAGTTGAGAACCAAGTTTGATGAAGACTGCGCGATATTAGCTTCAAGGTCATCCACTGGAGGCAGCAACAAAAAGCTACATACTCAGACATGGGGTAAACAGCATGACGTTGAGGTTAGCGACCAACTTCTGAGCTTCTGCATCGAACATGCCCTGTCTGGCAACTATGTAACCGGGCAAGCTGACACACACTACCTCCAACACAGCTTCGAAAACCAGAAGGACGAGGTGGAAGAATGATGGATGGCTCGAATGGCCGCCATCCTGAAGCACCCCAGCATTCATGATCCCCGATGACATTTGAGTCATGAACTGGCGAGGAACCAAGGCGTTGACATTCTGAAGCGATTTAGGAGACGTAAAAATGGCCATGGACCGGAGAAGTTATTAATCAGAACCACCCGACGGAGAGGATGAGCGGAGGATGTTGGTGGCGGAGCGCCGAAGGTGATGTCGTCGATGAGCGATCCTGACTATTATTTAAGGTTGGGGCTGGTGCTCGGAAAGTGAGCGACGGTCGGGTCGGCCTTCGAGCTCAACAGGGATTGGGAAAAGGTGAAATTTCAGCGTGAGAAAGCGGGATCAGGTGAAAAAAATATTATACTCAGTAGTAGTGACAGTGGAATATTGAAGATGAGAATGAGACGAGATGGGATGGAAAGCTCATGGTAGTTACAGGTCAGTGGCAGCGCTGGACGTGGCAGTGTGAGATGGCGAATCGCCCAGAGACTGAGCTGACGGAAGGGAGTCTTAGCGCCAAGAAGGCGAGGACAATTTAGTCTAGATAGTGAAGGAAGATCAATAATGATACTACAACGCAAACGTTTCAGACACGTCAATAATGAAACAGTTCAGGCAACCGGCTGAGATAGCGATGATATAATCACTACCTAATCCTTTGTGCGACTTCTAAAGCTGCCAGCAATGGTTTAACACCCTGTTTGAAGCTTCTTGTTCTTGTGGAGTTGATCAGCCATAAGCGCCAATTCTGACGCAAAACATGTGCCAAGAATCCAATCAGAATGGAAGGAAGCACAATAATGTCACATTCTGCTGTACAGAGTAGTGATTGGCTTTATCACTTATCTTACTTTGGCTCTCTATCAGACAGTCAGCCTACGTACCTTGGTACTTTTCTGGTAGGGTATTTCTCTATCAGTTGTACCCCACAGGTACTTATTTCGCTTGAGCAACTCCTTTCCGATTTGATGTGCGAATCTAGGTACAGACAGGTGCCCATAGAGTCTCTTTCTACTTACAGGTGAATGTCCTTGGCATGTTGTACAAGAACACATAGATCCATCGTCATTCTTTCACCACCATGCTGAGAGAGCAAGCAATTTCAAAAGGTGGTCCTATTTTATATCTAGATACTGCAGGTTCTTTACGGTCATCAGTATTATACAGCACTACAGTTATTGAATGAGGTATTCACTTGGACAGTCATTGGGATCTTTATCTCTATCACATCATGATCGGCTGGATCCCTGCAGATGCTCACCTCAGGTTAAGGAGTTCCCGATTGTCTGAAAGCAAGAGTATATAAAGTCATTACTAATTACTAGCCTCACTGTGGTCATTTGGTGGCACACTCGATTGGGCCGCAACTGACTCAAAAGAATAAAGAATGGAACCCGAATTTTGATACTTTGATACCTAAATTGTTTGTCAAGAAGAACCGCCGACAAGTTCTCTCGGTCAGACTGGCTCCCAGGCCATGCGCATTCCTGTCGCGCACTATTTGATTACTCCGTACTATCATCATCCGACATTATATGACTTCATCGGATGCATATGACAGGTAACGGGCTTGCTTTGGTGTCTATACCTGAATCAAGGTGGGAGAGCCTAGGAGCAAATATGGGCAATAAAAATAAGCAAACAATCAACGGACTTTGCCTCCATTCCGATCCAGGCAGTACGATTGGCTGATCGTAATCGTATCAGGTCAAACACTCATGGATTGCACCATCCACAGCAGCGCCACAACGGGAGGTTCTCAACCGATCGGCAACATAGCCAGTAAAGCCCGCCAATGACAGCTCCGTTTGATCAATCATCAATACCTACCTAGGTAGGTACCTTAGGGACTACGGAGAAGTCTGAAGGATTCGGGACAAGGATTTACAACAATGGACAGAAAGCAGATAACATAGCACAGTATACAGCATCTGGTGATGTGATAGTGAATGACAGCAAAGAACAGAGTTTAATACCTAAGGTATATTCTCCAAGCAAACACCTGAGAGGGGAGGATGAACTAATAACTTGGGAGGCTTGAGTCTGACGTAGTGTGGGGTTATCGGTTCTCCAGAAAACAAGATCAAAACCTGCGCTAGGATATTACATGCTGGTTATTCAGCAACAATAATGAGAGCTTCTTTTGACATGTGCTGTCAAAGCAAGAAATAGCCTACCTATCCAGGTACTATTAGAGCTATTAAATCAATGATAACATTATAGTTTAACTGGACAGAAACGAAGCCACCTAATTTGTCAAATTGAATTTGCTCCGTGGGTGTTAGCCATAGATCTGGACTCGCAGTTCCGTGTCCCGATGGTAAAGTCGGATAGTTCGGTTCGACGCAGCCTGTGCTTCTTCTTCTTCTTCTTCTTCTTCTTCTTCTACTGTTTCGTGGTGAAATCTCGTCTGTAAAGAATCAAGACTATGCAAGAGGTCGGTCTAGGGCTTTTGCAGGTTAGACATGAGTAGTGAATCAGTGGCCGAAAGAGTCGTTGATTGTAATACCTCTCTACATCGATAACAAATAATGTTGCTGCCTCGTCCAACTTGCTAAGGCGACACCCTTGAGCGCCTGAGGCCAACCATTGGCTGGTCTTTCTTCCCGCCAACGCACCAACGAGAGAAACGCATCCCCCGGCCATAGTATATGTATCTCGTCAACCCGAGTATGCGATTATATGGTTGATGGTTGTTGATGACTACTTCCACTGCTCTACTACTAATATCTCATTCCACTATCATAATTAAACTGGCATTCCGCCATCTCCCAAGTCAACCCAGGTTCAAACAAGACGTGCTCATTCCTTGATCAATCCTTGAACAGCTGGAAATTTCTCGACCATCCACAGCCAAGATTTCCCAGGTTGCTTGGCTGCCACACTTGCCCCAGGCATAATTCCCTGGATCTCCATCTTTTATCTCAAACCTCCCTCCCCTCTTTCGCTTTCTTATGCTTCTTTCCTGTACCTCTGGAAATCTAATCCGTTCATACAATTACCCGGCCTTCCCCTCCCTGCCGTCTTCTCAAGGTACCGGGGGACTTTGCAAGTAATTCACACTACTTGAGTTTCATCTATCCAGCCTTGTTTTCGGTATGATTCTTGCCCCGCGTTGAGGCGAACTGCCACTGTTTCCTTGAACCCGCAGGCTCTTTCACGGCAGGTGTCTAACTCTTGTGACAGCAGCAGTGTTCATTTACAAAAGCTTCGATCTATCGCTTCAGAAAACTAGCTCAATCTGGATTCTCCACCTTCCCTCCTTTCGTGACCGCCGTCCTGGGTTGTCCGTAATCCCGATCGATAGAAAGTACTCGAAACGGCACCCTCTTTCCCATCCACTCCAAGATGAGCGCGGCTACAATGTGCCCAGAGCAAGAACCGGTCGCAGAGGTTCCCTCCGCTCAAGTCGAAATTGACAACCGATCCGACAACACAACGGACGATGACCTTTCGCCCTCTGTCACTGCTCCTCCGTCTCTTACTTCGGTACCATCCCTTCGGCCGGACCGTGATATGACATCGGGGATAAGTGCTTCGTCTACTCATTTGGGCCAAATCAATGCGGCTCGGCGTGGTGCAGGGGCGCCGACACTGCCGCACGCCTCCATGAGTGGCGCGCAGCCGGGCGGCTTGAATCAGGACATCTTGGCCAAGATGAAGGCCTTCTCCCTCTCCAGACAGGGTACTCCCCCGCATTTACCTCATGCTGTCTCTACCGGAACAATCCCTTCGTCCAGACCAAGCATTTCCAGTTCGCCAAGTCCGGTAGGAGGGCCATCGCCTCCGATGGGAGGTGCACTTGCCGGACGTCTTCCCCCGACAGCCCGCCCTCATGGTAAGAATTGGGCGTCTTCACCCTCAGTGCCGGGAGCTACTGCAGGTTCTCATTCCCCTTCGCCGAAAACCGGCAGCCTGGCCGCAAAAAGAATGAAGCCAGGGTTGAAACTGTCAGATGCCACCGGCCCTGCGACTGGTTCTGGAACTAGCTCGCCTGGCGATGGATCTTCGGACGCATCTGGAGGGTCGGCATTCAGCAAATATTCGGAGTACATTGACACAAAGGCAGGGACTCTGAATTTCAAGAACAAGGCGATCCTGCACGGTGGCGGCGTCGAATTCTCGTCCGGACATAGTTTCAGCATCTCGTTAGATGAGGTTGAGCGACTGGATGAGCTAGGTAAGGGCAACTACGGAACGGTCTACAAAGTTCGACATAGCCGGCCCCATATGCGCAAACCCGGTATGGGGCTTCGCGGCGTCATTAGTCGTCCAACTGAGAGCTCGACCCCGGATAGCACTTCTGCGGCTAAGCCCCAGGACAATCTTTCCGGTTACATTATGGCGATGAAGGAGATTCGCCTGGAGCTGGATGAAAACAAGTTTGCCCAGATCATAATGGAGTTGGATATTTTGCACCGTTGCGTTTCGCCATTCATTATCGACTTCTACGGCGCTTTCTTTCAGGAGGGTGCGGTCTATATGTGTGTGGAATATATGGACGGAGGCTCTATCGATAAACTCTACAAGGATGGCGTACCCGAAAACATCCTTCGAAAGGTCGCATTATCCACCGTTATGGGATTGAAGACCCTGAAAGACGATCATAACATCATTCATCGGGACGTGAAGCCTACTAATATTCTTGTCAACTCTCGAGGTCAAATCAAGATTTGCGATTTCGGCGTGAGCGGCAATTTGGTCGCCAGTATTGCGAAGACAAATATTGGCTGCCAGAGTTATATGGCACCAGAACGTATTGCAGGAGGCGGCGTGCAGCAGTCCGGCGCGACGGGTGGTGGAACTTACAGTGTGCAGAGCGACATCTGGAGTTTGGGCCTGACCATCATCGAATGCGCTATCGGTCGCTATCCATATCCTCCGGAAACTTTTAACAACATTTTCAGCCAGTTGCATGTGAGTTTCACCCCTTTCTCAATTAATCTGCATGGTCGAACACTTTATAATGTCATTTTTAAGGCTATCGTGCATGGGGATCCGCCAACATTACCGGAGGAAGGATATTCGGAAGAGGCGCATGCATTTGTCCGCGCCTGCTTGGATAAAAATCCCAGCAAGCGCCCTTCGTATAGTACCTTACTGAGACATCCCTGGCTTGCTCCCTTGATGCAACCCCCGACGGAGTCAAATGGGACCGAGGCAACATCCGCCGCTTCGTCTGACGGCCAACCTGGCGGGCCCGATACGAGTACTGCGACCGAGGATGAGGAAGTGGCGGAATGGGTCAAGGAGCGAATTGAACGTCGCCAACGGGGACACCTACAAGAGGCAAAGAAACCTGCATTGCATGCAGTGGCCCTGGATGCAGTGCCCGGTAGCCCTCTGCTTGATGATCCCTCCTCGCTACCGTCGCTTTCTTAGGACAATCCTGTCTGGCCAGCTCATCTCTTATAATCACCTGAACATTTCATTCTTCTCAATAATCTCCATTCTCTATCTTCTATTTCCTGTTGGACCGAGCGAGTGCATGAACGGAGGACTTGTTGGCGCTGGCGCCGTCTGGGCAGTTCTCCATTTCCTTCAACCTGCAATTTTCATCATTGATGCTGTTGTTTCTCTTCAAACTCACATCTACGTGCTGCAAAGCTTTACTTATGTGTGATGAATTCCGAAATGTAAAGTACCGGCAGCTTGGATTCCTATTGTCTCTCATGTAAATAGATGCATAACGTTCCGATACCCTTATTTCGGGTTAGATCATCTCCCAAAATAGGACAACCTCATATATCTCATGTCCTCCTTGACTATTAAAGGATTTGTCATTTCTCTGCCGGTCATCACCAAATGCTTAGCAATCAATCGCGTCACGTGTGGCTGCGATGACCAAATCTCCAGCCTCGAACGCTAAAATCAGTGCATATCGGCGAAGTCGGCGTTCATCTTCGGGAGATTAGGAAACTCGGAAAACGCCCGTCAATCTCAATAAGGTAGCCATTGAGAGGCAATTGGTCGTTGTGGACGGTAATCTGATTTCACTGCCTACTGCTCTACCTCCGCTGACTTCTTTGTGCGTCAGCAATCCGTATTCTCCGTCATCCACCACATCCCGGTTCCCCGCCAGCTTCAATCCTGGGAGCGTCCATTTTAGCTCTTGATTACTTTAGCTAGCTTTGCCCCTCCAATAATCCATCCTCCCTCCCTCTTTTCTCCCCTCATTCGACATCCACCACCTGCAGAGGGGTCAATAAAAAAACAGAAAAACTGGACCCTCCATGCTCTCCCGCTCCTCGCTCCACATTCTGCTTCCAGCTCAAGCATTCAAACCTCGTGTGCCGCAACTGATCCGTTCATCGACTATCGTTCAGTCTGCTCGAGTCATCTCTACAGTTGCAGATCGACGAACCAAATCGGCGATTCGAAAACTGGATTCTCCCGCTCTGATCTCCAAGACAGCGCCCCGTCTCGCCTCTCTCTCTCGACACTTTTCATCGACTGCGGTTGCGGCGGACTCCAGCAACATGGCTCCTACGGACGTTCAGCAGTATGACTATATCGTTTTGGGTGGTGGTAGTGGTGGTAGCGGTAGCGCACGGCGTGCCGCTGGCTGGTACGGTGCGAAGACGCTGATTGTGGAAAGTGGACGGTCTGGTGGTACTTGCGTCAACGTCGGGTATGTTCTGTGCCTTGCTCCCCGTGCGGCCCAGGGAAGCGTGGAATATGCTAACTGAAGCGTCTGCAGCTGCGTCCCCAAGAAGATGACCTGGAATTTCGCTTCCATCAACGAAGCTCTCCACGTCGGCGAGCACTACGGCTACGACATCCCCAAGGACATCAAGATCAACTACCGTCATTTCAAGGAAACCCGCGATGCCGTCATCAAGCGTCTGAACGGTGCCTACGAGAGAAACTGGGGCAAGGAAGGCATCGACCTCGTGCACGGCCGCGCTCAATTCGTCGAACCCAAGGTCATCGAGGTTACGCTCAATGACGGCGCAAAGGCGCGGTACTCGGCGCCACACATTCTCATCGCGACCGGTGGCCGGCCCACCATTCCCCCTATCAAGGGCGCCGAACATGGTATCACCAGCGACGGGTTCTTTGAGATCGAGGAGCTCCCGCCCAAGGTTGCTGTCGTGGGTGCGGGTTACATTGCCGTCGAGCTGGCTGGTGTCATGGCCGCAGTTGGCGTGGAGACCCACATGTTCATTCGGGGCGAGACGATGCTGCGCAAGTTCGACCCTATGATTCAGAAGACGATGACGGAGCGGTACGAAGCGACCGGCGTGCGCATGCACAAGAAGCATGGCGGGTTCAAGGAGGTGCAGCTGGTGAAGGACGGCAAGGGCAAGGACAAGGTGCTCAAGCTGATCGGCAATGACGGGTCGGAGGAGGAATTCAACGAGCTGCTGTGGGCTATCGGTCGTCAGCCCGAGGTCGAGGATCTGCATCTCGAGATCCCCGGCGTGAAGCTCAATGAAAGTGGCCACGTCGTCGTCGACCAGTACCAGAATACCTCGGCGGAAGGTATCTACGCCCTTGGCGATGTCACTGGCGTTGCGGAACTGACACCAGGTACGTTACCCTCTTCTTTGTCCCTCTATTGAACTTGACTAAATACTTTCGCTTCGTGTAGTCGCCATTGCAGCCGGTCGCCAACTCGGCAGTCGTCTGTTCGGTCCCCCGGCCCTCAAATCCGCCAAACTGTCTTACGAGAATATTCCCACTGTGGTCTTTGCGCACCCCGAAGTCGGCACCATCGGTCTGACCGAGCCGCAAGCCCGCCAACGCTACGGTGATGACAAGGTCAAGGTTTATTATACCAAATTCACCGCCATGTACTACGACGTGCTCCCGGCAGAGGAGAAGAAGAAGAACCCGACCGAGTTCAAGATCGTGTGTGTCGGTCCCGAGGAGAAGGTGGTCGGTCTGCACATTCTGGGTCTCGGCGTGGGCGAGATGCTGCAAGGTTTCGGTGTCGCGATCAAGATGGGTGCTACCAAGAAGGACTTTGATAGCTGTGTTGCTATCCACCCGACCAGTGCGGAGGAGTTGGTGACCATGCGGTAGATTATAGTGAGTTAGATCTAGACTGTGAATACAATAGACATTGTACATGCATGGATATATATATAATTCCGGCGGTATTGTCAGAACCTCGATTGTTTAAAGACAACTGGCCATTATTCAATCAATCTTCAGTAAAGAGAGAGAAAACAAAGAGAAAAGAGCTCGCCCTCTCCTACAATAGATACAATAGATATTATTTATTTATTATATCTATTAATATATGATAAAAAAGGTTGAGGAGGGACGACATCAACAAACCCCCACCACACAAAAAGTGTGTACAAAAAAGGAAGGCCCGAACCGCGACTCGAACGCGGGTCTCATCCATACAGAGCTCTTTTGAGAGCCGAAGCGTACACCATGCGGTGCTCAACCCCGAAGGATGAATCGTACCTCTGGACCATTCGGGCCATTCTATGGTAATGGTAGGATCAATAAGATTGATGAGATACTAAACATAGCAAAGCCCACATCAGCAAACCAATCCGATTCCGACATCACTCATACTCTGGAAAGATTCGAAGCAATGGAAGTGCCACATATTGATATCCAATGCCATCTAATATTAAACATCAATCACCATATTACCAATATCGAACATATTTATCTTGCCATTACCATAGAATGGCCAGAATGGTCCAGAGGTACGATTCATCCTTCGGGGTTGAGCACCGCATGGTGTACGCTTCGGCTCTCAAAAGAGCTCTGTATGGATGTTTTTCACCAGTCAAAGTGCTTGGAAGCAGTGAATCAAATAAAACATTAACTAGAGAGATCATTAAGGATATACCATCTCTTACACATAATTTGGAAAGCTTAATTCCAAAACGCAAAAAGACTTTGTATAAGTATTTTAAAATGTACTTAAAGCTCTAAGATGGACTTCTAACTTTCTACCAACAACCACCTCCATACCAAAAAACCAACACCAACCATGCCTGCCGAAACACTGTAACACTTTTCTGCCATCTCATCTCCTCTCTGCCTCAGCCTACCTTATTCATATAACCCTTTCAATCTACATGTCTCACCCTTTTGTGGACTAATGACCAATCATTCATCTTCTACCCTCTGTAATGCCAAAGCACTATAACTTGGTAGTACGTGCTGCTTACCAGGGACACTGATCACTCAAAGCCAAATCGGAGCCATTGTCTGCAGCCTGGCGGTGTTGAGCAATAGTATCCTCAGTATCAGTCTTGTTTCTGACGGCTCAGAGACATTTCGCACAGAAGAGGGTCCCGTTAGTACTGCGACTAACCAGGGAAACCAAGACGTCGACGAGCATCAGCCCTTGCTACAGAGATCTACGCGTCACAGAGGCCACCAGTTGTCCCGCCTGAAGGAATCAATTGCTGGTGTTTATTCCCTGTATGGAGGGGCAGGAATATTGCTTCTAACCAAGCTTGGAGGTCTACTGTTCGATGATCTGTCTCCACGAAGTCCGTTCTATATAATGGCCGGCTTCAATGCTGTACTGCTTCTTGCAGGGATCGCCACTGGAGCAATGATCTATTCGAAAAAGACTGCCCGCCGGTGCTGAGGCTTAGCTCGTACAATCAGCACCTACATATACAAGCCAACAAAGGACATCGAGTCATCTTCTCCCCGGGAAAGAAAAAGAGTGGCTCCTCCCATCCTTATGACCGTAAATGTTAGATGATGAGTACTGGTGGGCTTATCAGGTGCCTTTGTCGTCTTCCAGGCAAAGGTTACATTGGTATAGACCGCTTGGTAGTTATACGCACCGGGGAAGGTTTCAAGTTAAATCCGCGTCTCAAAGCAATTTTAGTGTATTGATAAAGCTATGGAGTGACTACGGTAATTAATCACATTTTGTGTATGTAACTCTAATGGGAGTTCATCTAAGTCTCCCGCCAGGGCCCAAAAGGACCGGTCCAAAACTTGCGAATCGCGTCTTCAGATGTCGCATCGGGACCGAGGTCCCACTCGAATCTGGACTCGCGTCTTCTTTGCCGTTTTGGGTAGCGAGCATCCTGCTTTGTTCACTTCGGACGTCTTTTTCCACCCTTACTTCCCGCTTCTTCAGTCTCGTCATCCTCATCCTCATCCTCATCCTCATCCTCATCCTCATCCTCATCTTCAGTCTCGTCATCCTCATCCTCATCCTCATCCTCATCCTCATCCTCATCCTCATCCTCATCCTCATCCTCATCCTCATCCTCATCCTCATCCTCATCCTCATCCTCATCCTCATCCTCATCCTCATCCTCATCCTCATCCTCATCCTCATCCTCATCCTCATCCTCATCCTCATCCTCTTCTCTTCCTCTTCCTCTTCCTCCCTGTTGTCGTCCTCCTCCTCCTGCTCGTCAGCGTCCTGGTAATTATCGTCCTTACTCGGACGTTCCAATTGATGTCTTCTTTCAGTCTCGTCTTCGTCATCCAAGTAGTACAAGTCTCGAAGGATGGTAAGCTTCATCACCATGTCCTGAGGAATACGCCCTATCCTAGGGCTTCCAAGTGCCCCAATGGCTTTTCGAATGGTTGGGAGTGGGGCACCATGCCACTGCTTAGGTGCTTGGGTGTTTTGTGCCAATAAGTGATTGCACAGATAGACCCGAGTATATTGCCCGCCCTGGGCGACATCCGTGATTTTCCCCTGTCTATACTGATACCGTGCATATTCATGTGCCATCGGCACCCTTCTCTTGGTAATATCGCCTTGGCGGCGAATTCTGTCCCTGAGTTCGAAACGGATAAAGAAATCCAGATCGCTGGGTACGAAGAAAAACACTAGGTCCAACGCATCATCATAAAATGCATGGCAATTGTGGCATAGCCCGACAGCGTTCATCATTGAAAGTGGGTCAAAGTTAAATGAGGCGTCGTTCTTCTAAAATCCCTGTCTAGTCTCGCTATTAGTGATAAGGCACTTGTCATGTTAATATATGGAAACCATACTGCTCCATCTGCTTTCCCAAGTACATGGGCAATCTGTATCTTTCTTGATCCGCAAGACCAACAACAATCGTCACCCATTCTCCTTATTTTTGCCTTGACGTGGTCTGTGTGAGAGAGAATGGAGAGAATGGATCGTCATATTCATAATGGATGGCTTAGAGAGAGAAGAGAGAGAAAGATTCTATCTACATGTACAGCAGAAGGAGAGACGTGTGTCGAGCTAGGCCTAATATGGAAGCGTAGGCGAGAGAGTAACATTCACAGTCTGGGAAGGAGCCAGATACGACAGTGCTATTTTTGCTGCTTGATGGCCGAGGAGGTGGTGGCATGCGACTGCTCTTAGACGCCATTGTCAGTATTGTTCTGGGGCTTCGGAAAACACGTGAAGAAATTGAAGCAGTGTATAGGATGAAGGATGAATAGAGCGCCACTTACCAGACACAATAAGATTTTCAAACTGTCGAGATTTGTTGTCAATCTCTTGATGCTTTGCCGTATAGGTTTAGGAAGGAGCGATTGCTTTCTACTACTGGACTTTCTATTCTTATGTTTTGTTGCGTAGTTCACGTCATGAATACACCGACTTGTGTCTTATGTATAACCATGGGACCCTTATAGACATCCGAACCAGGAAATCTGGTAGTCTACCATGATGGGCATGTCCGAAACATAAACGGTATGCATGCTCATCTTTGTAAATTTTGCTCGGTGCAAGTATGACTCTACTGGCGATCTAAAAAGAATGGACAGACAGAGAGAGAATAGGTATCTGTGCTTCCTGGTTTATGTTTCCATGGTAGATAGATACGTCCCACACTGGCTTCTTCATGTCACATCAGACCTAACAATGGTCCTCCGGTCTCGTCTCGTAAATAGCATTGAGACCACTACCTTGCAACGATGTTATAATGTCTGAATTCAGGCACCAATTAACTACAACTAGAACATTGTATTGATAGGGGCGGAAGCAGCACGTATCCGTCTGCCACTCCTATTCCTGCGGTCGCTACGCTTGTTAATCTGCATTCCTCTGATTGTCTGACGGACACTGAGGCTAGAGATAACACTGTATAATTATAGTCTCAGTACTAGTATCAATTTCTCATGAGTGGTCAGATCTCTCTTTCTCTTCTATTTATGGCATCTATTCTAACATTTTCCCAGATAAAGGCAAATGGTTCCCTTTCAATACCATCATCAGGTTATCTAAGACTAAAGGGGACAGGTTTATAGTATGCCCTCCTTTCTTGGCCATGTCTCAAAACTTCACATGTTAGGCACAGGCTGGCAGGCTGAGCATTTAGTATTATATCAAGTTGATATCAAAAGGTACCCTGCATGATTACACTCACAGAAAGCTGCCGAATGACTTCCCTGCAAACATCCACCTCAAGTCTTCTTACACACCCCTTCAAAACCACTATAACGTGAGACAAATACTCCTAAGGTTGATGTTCCACTCTTCATAGATGTCACCAGCTCTTAGCTTTCTTTCAATCTCTCCATTAGCAGCACCTGTGTTGTCCATGCCGTTAGTAGTAGTATGAACATCAATATAGGTGAGCTTCTTAAGTTAGGTAGTGCTAATAACCATAAGGTAATGAAGATCCTGCCTGGACTCCTGCGTCCCTGGTGAGGTAATCTAGAACCATCTCCAAGAAATGCTTGTGCTAATAATGCCTCCAGCTACACAATGTAATCTTCCATTTCTGCAGCATTACTGATGCTGTTAGATTCCGCGCTGCCATCCCTCGCGATGCTGATTAGGACCATTGTAACATTCAGTGCACAGCTGACCCGTAGGTCTTCCTGTGTTGTTAGCTGGTGTCAGAACTAATGACGCTTTGCTGCTATAGATGCGAGCTCGCTACCAAATGCCATACTGATTGGGAACTGCAGACGAGCTCGGCAGAGGCATCGATCATATCTGGTTCGACTGGCCGCTGAGCATGGCAAAGACCATGAACTGGAAAGATGCTTCTAAGCATAAGATGAGCATTCTTAGCCATCTCGTCCTCACAGGCTGGATGGAGAATGACCAGGAGAACATGCATAAATACTACCTACTTTATATAAGTAAGTAAGAGAAAAGAATTACTATGTATGCATGCTGATCCAATCCTAGTAATTACCCCCTGGATCATTCGGGCAATCTTGTATGATTACTCACAATATCCATCGCTTATCAAGAGCATTCAGTAGTCTATTATATACCCACTTTCTACTGTAGTTTGAGGCAGGTGAGGTAAATCAACAAAAAAGGAAATCCAGTAGCTTATGAAGGCTAGATTTTTGCAAAGTAAAAGCGAAATTATGTTTTCCGGCTCTGTATTGCCTACAGGTGCAATTGTTTCTGGTGGAGTATCATCTTCAAAGAAGCGCAACGACGGCTATGTCTGCCAATGAGACCTCTGAAGTCGGCATGGCCTGCTGTGTCACTACCTAATACAGTAGGCACTCCAACTTTGATATTTGCCTCTTTTGCTTTTGAATTCCTGGTTTCAAATTCGGTTTCAACTCTCAGATGCTAGAAACTCGGTAAGAGCTCATGCGTGAGGAGTCCCAACTGAACGCGCCTGTAATAATAGAATAAAGGGACCAGGGACTACCTTACCTGGTGACATCAGCATAGGATGCACGTTAGATGGTTGGATGCGATTATTAGACTTCATGTAAGCTTCTCAGTTTATTAGGTTTAACGCTGGCTACCTTATTTTTAAACTTTTTCACCCTCCTTACCTAAATCTTACAATGAGTCATTGCTAAACCAGGTAGACCTTTTTATTAATGGCTTGAATATCCGCTAGCAATAGAAGTGCATGCACTTGTTTCTCCTTGAAGAAGCTGGACTCCACGAAGTCTTCTTAGATAGAGCAGAGAATATTAACCTATCACGCATAGAGTCCTTCTCCTGGATCGGGAGATAAAAAGACTGCGGGCAGCAAATGAGACGGAAGTCAATACAGCATTTACCATAATCCCATCCTAAATCTACCGCCAGCTAGCAGTTGCTGTGGCGGTGGTACCTGAGCATCCGGTAGGAACAGTGTAGCTGCGGTTTGGGCCGCTCTCCCAGATTACGCTCCCGTCGGTCTCCTCCTTAATGAACTTGTATTCGAAAGTCGTTCCTGCTGGGAGGTTGATCGTCGTGATCCACAGCGGGTTCGAGGTGGTGTACTGGCTGGCGGACAGCGCCACCGCGTTATCGGTGGACCAAGAGCCCAACTGGCTGATGGACCCAGTGATAAAGATGTTCTCTCCGTAGGTCGTAGTCACCAATTCATTAAATGTGACGGGGATAAGGCTAGCTGTAGCGCTGCAAGTGGACGCGGTCGTGGAAGTGGAAGTGGTACTTGTGGTCGTGGAGGTTGTAGTACTTCCAGACCCAGAAATCGCAATGTCGGCGCAGTGAAGGTAGACTTGTGCAGTCTGGAAAGAGTTCCATCTGAAGCGGAGCAAGGTATGGTTGGAGGAATAGTTCGGGATTTTGATCCGCTTGGTTACGGTATAACCACCGGCAATCGTTGTTTTGCAGGAGTTCAGTGGCGCCCCATCAACTCCCTCGCAGGCCCGGGCAGTATTAGCCTGGAAGGCATTGCATGTGAACCAATCGTTTCTCCAGCAGGCTTCTCCCTCTGTACAATCCGGGTTGTACCCACATGTCTGGCCTGAGACATCTGTGCACTTGAGCTCACCCTCCAGGAAACAGTCCTCCGCAGCTTGCTTTTCACCATTGGTTGGGAGGTAGCCTGGAGTTAGGAATTTATCAACCAGGGTTTGGTTCTGGCAAATACCATATGTGAACATGCCACCGTGGTCGCCATTCGCATCAACACACCATTGAACCTCGACAACTTCCCCGGAAGTATAAGTTACCACCGGTTCATTACCCCAGTGATCACCGGGTTGGTTGTAGTCAACGCTAACACGGGCATTGTAGCCACATGGTCCACTCCGGCCAACTTGAGCTTCCTCAAGATCAGGCCAGGCTGTAACTGGTTCCAAGATAGAACATTCAGGACACGTATCAATACCAGCCTAGAATACGTAAAATGATCATTAACATGATGTAAGGAGAAGGGTAATCACCTGCACCCTTACCTCGAACCCAAGACGGGTACGACTCGCAGGGACGGTCAGATATCCATGTCCATAAGCCGACGCGAAACAGCCCGCAGCCACCAAAATGGAGAAAATCATTGTTATATGTAGTGATACGATGAGGAATGGTCAATTATATTAGTTTAGGGAAAAGCTGAAGAACTAAAAGAGGCGAAGAAATTGTGTGATAAGATCACGAACAAACCCAGAGCAAATGTGCTCTTTCGCTGTTATATATGTTTCTGAAGCAAAGTCACGCCCACTTGGTATTGTCTGCATTTGCCAAAACAGTTGCAAGAGAAGAGTTACTTTGCTCTTACAGGCTTTCCTTGACGAGCCACATTAATCTATGCTATGGCCACAGAGGAGCACAAAAAATAATCGAGGGTATTCACACTTTGTCACCAAGATGTTACTCGAACCAGTCAAATTCCCGACAACTGCCCGAGTGCAAGGAAATCTGGGGAAACATAACTTGTCGTTATGCCCGCGCTGTTAGTTATCCAAAGCATATTGAGCATATGTTCGGCATGAGATGCCGCGATGCTCAGGCGAGCCAATTGTCCGATAACTGCCCGAGCGCAGGAAAGTCCGGGGAAATGCAATTTATTGATTAAACCCCGCCCTGCCAGTCGTCCAGAACATGTTAGGACATATTCCAGGCATGAGATACCAGCTGTGCTCGGACTAAAGTACGTCCAGGTTGAGTTGTCACAAAAGGTCCCCAAGCCAGCCAAATGCCCGACAACTGCCCGTGTGCAAGAAAGCCCGGGAAAAGCAGTTTATAGGGTCAAATTATAGTAGGTATTGTACCTCAGTTTGGATGGGTCATAGCCCCCGGTTAAACTAACCCGCACTTGGGTCTAACAACCCAAGGCGAGTTAGGTGAGCTCGAGGAGGACTATAACGGATTACTCATATATCAACATATTCCATATGTGTTGTTGGTTGTGGAGGAGCTGTATGGGAACATTCCGGGTCTGCGGCCCGTCCCCGATGTGGCGGACTTTCCAGCCAGACGGCCTGGAAGGTCCATATCACAAAAGAAATCTGCCCTAACCTCGGTTAACCTGGCCCATGTAGGACCTGGTGTTTTATCACAGATTATTAACAGACATGTTTTTCAAAATTCAATCTACGCTTTGTGATGCGAATTCAACCCCATGCAGACCAAAGAGCTTTGCAGCTTATTTTCCCCATGGGGAAACCTTGGTGAAAGAATGTTGAAGACTTGTGGTTATGTCCTTCCAGTAATACCACCTTTCTGCCTGCACCAAAAAATCTCAGGCGTTTACCAAAACCCAGCGCGATATCATATGATATTCACACGGCCCCCAGGAATCAAGATGTGTCTCGAGAATGAAGGATACCCGGGTCAAGGAACACTAACTGCAGATTTCCCCGGAAGCATGAGTCTAACAGCTTCCTGGAATTCATAATACCTCTAACCAGTAGCTAATATAAGATGCAATGCTGCCGTGGCTGCCACAGCATTTCTTCCCCATAATCTTTCCATTCAAGGCAGAAGAGCCTGCCTGAAACCAAACATCCCCAGACAGCATTCACAGCCTCACTGTGCTTTTACTTCTCCACTATGCGATTTTCCTTGGAGAGGAGCATCAATGAGATGAGCTGTCAACTTTGCTGGGGGACAGTATGGGCGTGCAAAGTAGCATTGGCGTTTTCGTCATTAAGACTCAAAACGAGTCTTATGTATCGCACCAGACGGAAGTATGTAACCCAGGCAAAGATGATCATGGCCAGACCACCGAGGGCTAGGAGAGTGTAATAAGCAAGGTCGTGGTTCAGAATTTCCAGGTTGAGGGTCCTCCTCATGACCCTCATGCGGAGCTCCGTCTTTCTCGAGCCGTCGATGTCGGTACCTTGCCAAGCCGATTCCAAACACTGTTACTCCTTGCATTGATCAGCATGAATGTTGTTCTGTGCATAGTTGCAATACCCCTTTGGCACAAGCACAGAGTCTTTGGGGGCTGAATGTGACACCGTTTCGGCACCATTGCGACTGTTAGGCTCTAATCATGATCTAACCACTGCACCAATGGTTCTAGAAAATGGCGCCTTTAATGGTCTTGCGTGCAATAAACTTCCTTTTGATACTCCACGGAAGTTGGAAACTTGCTTGACCAATTACTTCATTTGCTCATGTACACCCCCTGATCTGACATGGAAGGTTATGGGTAGTAGAATTGACAGAAAAAAGTAGAAGCCTCTATAATCAGTGACTGAACAGACACTATTCCGTTTGCGAGCGTTTCCTAAGGCTGAACTCATAAATGCTTCAAAGACTAATTCATTCCAGTCACAGCCACAAGCATCTATCAGGAACATCAGCAATATAAATATTAAGCTGACTCAAAAGCCGTGGAAAGAATAAGGATAACTCATTCAGCCTTTTTGCTCGGACTCTACAGATGTTGGTTGACCCTATGGATGCAGGGTGACCACTTTAGTCTGGACGAACTCCTCCAACCCCCAGCGAGCGCCAAACCGACCCCAACCGCTATCCCCATACCCTCCGTGAGGCAGAGTCGGCTCGTCATGCACGGTCATGGAATTAATGTGGACCGCGCCCGCCTTGATAGAGCCAGCGAAATCAAGGGCGCGGTATGATTCCGGGAAATTATTGAGCTTGACAATCCGTACTTGGCCGCCTCAACAATGGCCGTAATCTGTTCTTCCGTCTCGACCGCCACGATGCCTACCACCGGCCCGAAGGACTCGATTTCGTACAGCTTCATCTCAGGCGTCAACCCTGTTAGCACGGTGGGAGGGAAGCTCCGCGGCGAGGCCTTGTAGGCCGCGGGGGGTGTATGGATTTGAGCACCCTTATCACGCGCGTCGGATACAAGCATCTCCACCTTGGCTTTGGCTGCCGGGGAGATGAGCACCGAGGGGGTATTAATATCATGCAAGATGGCCAGAATCTTGGCTTCAAGAGCCGGAGCCACGGCGGTCGTGACCAGGACCTTGTCAGTTGACATGCAGATTTGACCGTTCTGCATCAATGTTAGCTCTGTTTTATCCGCGCAGGCCAAGTCCGATCGTGGGGGGGCTTACATTGAGAAAGGCGCCTTTGGTGATCTCTTGGGCTGCAAGATCTAAGTCGGCGTCATCGAGTACCACAGTGAAGTTCTTACCACCCAGTTCTAACAACACGGGCTTGAGGGCGAGGGCGGCTTGCGAGGCGATGACACGCCCGACCTGGGTCGATCCGGTGAAGTTGCATTTCTTGATGGCGGGGTGGTTGATGAGCACATCGAAAATATCCGGCGCGTCCTGCGGTCGATGCAAAAGGAAGTTCAGGACGCCAGGGGGGAACTCGGCTTCCTGGAACAGCGAGGCGATGAGGTAGTGGGTTTCAGGACTCAATTCGGATCCCTATAAAATAGTTTGTCAGAGAACGATCTCGCGGTCCGCATTCGTTCGGAGGAAGGGCACTTGCCTTCAGAATGGCGACATTCCCTGCGGCGATAGGAGCCACCACCGCACGGAGGCCCAAGATTATGGGAGCGTTCCAGGGAGCGATTCCAAGCACTACCCCGAGCGGTTCTTTGAGGACCAACCCATGACCGTGTTGGACAAAGGGCAGTGAGCCCGTGGCTATACTGGTGGTGAGGGCGCCGTACTCCTCGATCAGACCGATAGCGTCGTTGGTGATGATTTCTGCCCATAGGGGGCCGCAATGGATCTCTTCAATCACACACGCGCTTGATCTCCTCGGCTCGACTGCGGAGAAGCTGGTCGCCTTGATGAGTGAAAGGGCCCCTGAAATATTCCGGGGTTCGGGTTCGCATACCTCGGCCAACTTGAATAGCAAGGTCCGACGCTCTATCGGGATGGTTTCGGACCATGTGTGGGGGAAGAGCGGCAAGCAGGTTGCATGCAGAACGGCAATGAAGAGGCCAAAAGTCCGAGATACGGATTAGTCCTCCAGATGGTCAATTTGGAGCCGAGACCGATGCCGGGGAATCCGCGGATCGTACCCCGCGGGCTCTTTGTAGTACCGCATCGGCCTCAATATGTACATTTGAGCATGCGTCTCCCTAAGGAATAGTTAGATATGATATGACAGATGATTCATCAAGTGGACACCGAACTATGAGGTTTGAGCTTTCTGATTAGAGTCATCTTCCGCTCTTGACCTCTAATAGTGTTGCAAAGCTGCATTTCACATCTAATATACCTAAGTCTAGCTTTATATCTCTTCGGTAAATTTATTTATACAATATACACTCCTGTTGAATTCCTTAAATCGCGGGGTTTTGGCTGAACAGGATAACGTTATAACATGTTACAGTATCGACTCTCTACTCTTTCCGCAAAAACCCCCAACTCCGTCCATGCCCGGTCAGTTCTCGCCCTCAGTTTCGTAGCCATAACACCACATCTGTGTGGCCGGATCACTCCATTGATTCGGACTCTGACTGAAGGGGAGACCCTCCACTTCCCGCGCCATGGCCGCATCGCGCGCCTCCTGCAAGGGCCCATCCGCAAATCGCCACAGCTGGCCATTTAGCAGACTGGCCTCCTGCATCTGGCTCGTCCGGACGATCCGCACTTTCTCGAAAATGGCTAATGCCTCGGACAGCTGCTCCCGGGACCGCATGTGGGATAAGGAGCGCGCCAGAGCCACGCCGTCTTCCACGGCCATCGCCGCGCCTATTCACGGACCAGTCAAATGGGGATTCCACTCCAAATGGGGGGCGTACACCTTACCCTGCGACATATACGGCCAGCATCGCATGAGCCGCATCGCTCAGAATGACCAACTTGCCCCTTGTCCAGCGAGTGAGCAACGAACCGCTCATCAAGGGCCATTTGAGCGTCTTCTCCACCATCCCAATGATCTTGGTGAGGCTTGTGGGTGCACGTGAGCAAGGGGGACGTCGTATAAACATGCATGAGACGACTCACACAGGGTCCCATCCCTGAAACTCAACCTTCATATCCTGCAGGCCCGTCCGCACGTCCCACGTGGCCGGGTCGGAGGTATCCCGGTGCGAGAGCACCGTGTTAAAGGCTTTGCCCGCCCCGATCGTATAGGTCATGACGTGTCTCGAGTCGCCGATCCTGTGGTCTAGCGTGAGCAAAGAGAACTTTTCTGGGGGGAGATGATGCAGTGAGGCCACCCTACCAAATATTCAATGCGGGTCGCTCCAGAATCCAGGACACTTCGGGGTCATTTCACATCCGGTTCACGTCGACGACCGCCCGATACGCAGCGAAGCCGGGCTTTAAGAAAGGCATCTCCTCGCCATTGAGGACTACCTTCCGAGCCACAGACTTGATGCCTGCCATCCTCTCAGCTCATGTGGTCATTTTCAAGAAAAAAGGTGGCAAAGTGAGGACGTTACCGTCCGCCGCAACAACCAGGTCTCCCGTGTGGCTTGTGCCGTCTTCCAAGGTGATGCTACCCAGCCGCGGATCGTAATTGACGACTCTTGCCCCAGCTGGATTTCAATACCCATATCCTTGGCTTTCCGACACAACGCCGAGTGAAAGTCCGCCCTATGGATCACGTAATAAGGCGCGTGAAAGTTATCGATGAAGTCCGGAACCAGCCTGGTCTTTCCAATCACCGTCCGATTCTGCCATCGACGGAAGGAGATAGACTCTGGCGAGGTGACGTAAGGCTTCAGATAGGGCTCTAGCCCGAGTTCAAACAAGATGCGGGTCGAGTTGGACGGGATTTGGATCCCCGCACCCACTTCCCCCAGCACGGGGGTCTGCTCGTAGATGGTGACCTTGTGGCCGGCTTGCGTGAGAGCGATGGCCGTGGCCAGCCCCCGAGACCCGCTCCGACCAGAAGGATGTTCAATCCCACCGTGCGTGTGGGCTTGGAGGAACCGGGAAGGGCGCCCTCCAGCGTCTTCGCAAACTGGAGGCAGTTACTGGGGTAGGTTGGCAGCTGTTCTCCTTTCGGTTGTCAGAAAGGATGTGATCATGCTATATGTCGATTAGATTGCCAAACACACTGACCGTGAGTGATCGGTGATTGGGAGCCGCTCCCGGCCCTTCTCTGGAAACCATGATAGAAATCTGGATTGACAGGGGAGACGTTCCTCTATCGTATAACTTGATGATGTGGCCCGTGCTGGGAATGAACTCTAGGTAGCCTCTCATGACTATTAAGGTACTGGCTGAGAGGTGGTCTTGGGCTGGACGCTGACCCGACCTCTCCCCGCCGTTTTGCCGCTACCGTTCTATGCCCGACAGCGCGCTTCATTATCCGTCCTCCTCCTCACAAGTGATGAGTTTTTGAAGCGAACGCCCCCAGTGATCGACTCGGAGGAAAGGCTGTCTTGAACGTTGCCGGATTCTGTGATTCTGCGAGATACTAACTATATCAAATACACCGTTCGTCAATCCTCGCTATGGCACCTTCCATGATCGACATGTATCTGGCTAAATTCGGATATGGAGAATTACAACTTTACCAAGAAACCATCGATAAGGGTAATGCTGCTTTTGCATGCGAATAGGTTTTTGCAGTATCCTCTAAAATTTTTCCCTTTCCCTGGAAGTTCGTGGCTCTTCATCCCCGTCAGTATGCAGGTAGGTCGCGTCCAACTGTGGAAATGGAGGTGTTCATCCGAATGGTCGCGGAGTATGAGTGGTTCAACTACCCGCACTAGGCCAAGGATGCTCCACTCTCCGCGCCGCAACACGTGGAACAGGATGGAGCTGTCCGAACAGAGAATGGGCAAGTAAAAGATGTAACTCCACTTGCTCAGATAGTGCAACCAGTAGCTTGTTGTGGACCTTTTAATCTATGCAACAATAGTCGGAGCTGATGATCACACCACTGTCAAACAGGCGTTTGGCACCGTTCAACTGGTTGACACCGTTCAACATGAACCAGCTTTCAATAGGCATGAGGGTAGGCGCAACAGACATAGCTCAGTTGTTGTTTATACCATGGCAGATTAATTCACCGGTATTTACCCCGATTGCAAGTTGAACGAGTTACGTCTGGACGAACTTCAACCCGTGCAGAGAAGGATCACCGACACATTAGGCCCTCTAGATAAAATTTAGCCCCGAGCTTAGATAACAGTCATACCTCATGTTGGACAGGCTCTCTATAGGACCAGGACAACCTTCCGCTGGAGGACCATAATCAAGTGCGCGAGTGTTAACCAGCGCCTTCGTATGTCCCAGCTGGCATTGTCTACTGCTTCGGACGTTTCTTTGAAAAGGATTCTGGGAATCTCAGCTATCGGTAGATCTGCAGACACGCACATTGGGACACTACCAACAAATATAATTATTTGACATCTGCTGCGTGCAATATGGGAATGCGAATAACTTTATGCACCTCTTGCCATCCTTGAACAAGTCGTACATTTCGAAACTCTACAAGGCCAGTTGCAAACGCACTACAGGTGTCGGAGCTCCTGTCACCTCCGGGCGGGGAATGTGGGCTACACCATGGAGTTCAAAACTGGCGCCTGGGCCTCTATCATCCATTTGACTGTTTCTCCACGCTTTGCTGGCATGATGTGCCTGATCATCATTATGGACAGGGTCGAAACGACGGGTCGAAGGATCGTATCGTTATATACTGGCTTCTAGAACTCGCCAGAACGCGGGTTGGGTTTCGGCCCTTGACCCAAAACCCGCCAAGAAAATAAATAACGGTACATATACGCATATAACAGACCGCGAACCTATGTATATTTCCGTATAACATGAGTATTACTGTAAATACAGAGCTTCTGGTTCTTGGCGGGTTTGCGGGTAACCCATGGGCACCCAAAAGAGCAATATGGCGAGGTCTACTCCGTACTGGGCTTCAGTTAAAAATCACGTGACTGGTGATTAAGTGGTCCGCTGCAGACCCAGTGTCATCTGATATCACGTGCGTGTGTTTCAAGGCTCAAGCCTCACTTCTTCACCACCCTATCATTCCCCACGGGAGCCTTCTATTTTGTCACTGCAAGTTCCGACCATTACCAGGGCGTTTCTGCCTCTTATTCTCTATTATAAGTGTCCTCTGAGCCTAGGAATAAGACGTCCCGGCAAACACTTTTCCTAGCCGATCATCATCATGTTTGGAAGTGGAAAAGGGTCTTCTGCCATGTCGTCCCTCGATTTACCAAACGCATCCGAGCCAGTCAACGACCGCCTTCTGTACCGGTGTTTGACGCTCTTGGCGATCAAAATCCTCAAACATATTCGACCTCGAAAAGGGAACGTCCTCATGCTGACTCATGGACTATGTGTCAAATACGGGCGCCGTGTACACTTATCTGAAGCATCAACAATGCGTTTTGTGTCGCAACGCACGTCTGTCCCAGTACCAAAAGTGTTCTGCGCATTTACGCGTTCTGGGCGGACGTACATCGTGATGGAAAGGATTAAGGGAGATATGATTGGCAGTAACTGGGTAAAACGAAGTGAGAAGTCAAAGAGGAGACTTCTTTCGCAGTTGGCCGAAAAGGTCCGCGAGATGCGTGACCTGCAACCCCCTGAAGGTATAGGGATCGCTTCTGTTGATGGCGGGTCTCTTTTCGACTGCCGCGTTCCAGGTCCTTCCTTGCGCTTTGGTCCCTTTGATACCGCTCAGGACTTCCATCGGCATTTACGCAGGGGAATGGAATTTGATTCAAGACTGGACCCCGAAGTTCAGGAACTCATAAAGCAACAGAGCAATTCTTGGCCTCTGGTGTTTACGCATGGTGACCTTAGCAGTCTCAACATTCTTGTTCGCAGAGATGACATCGCTGGCATTGTTGATTGGGAAACTGCCGGTTGGTATCCATCATATTGGGAATACACTTCTGCCCACCAGGCTAACCCACAGAACTCCTTCTGGGTCAATGAGATTGACCAATTTCTGCAACCAATGCCCGAAGAGCTCGCGATGGAACGAATTCGTCAGAAACACTTCGGGGATGTTTAAGTAGTCCTAGTCTGTGGCTTATCCGATTACCTCCCTCCGCTCCACCAAGTCATATGTTGGAGCCTTGCTCGTATCAAAATTGCCCTGGCCATCGAAACGGTGCTGATCTTTTTTCTGCTGACAATATCTCATCGCCTCGTTCCGCACCCTTTCCCACTCGATGACGTTCGTGCCCAGAGCCTTGCTGCTGGCCTTGAGCCCTTGCAACGCCTCCTTCATCTAGAAGACACAGTTCCAACCTGCTTGGCCCTGTTGAATGGGGGTGTTCTGCAAAATATCAACTAGGTGATTTCCATCTGCTACCTTTCCAACCATGATATGAACAAGCAGCATGCTAGTGAGAGTAATGGAATCTTGTGCTTCTTAAAGAACCACTCTGAGCCTCCCCCTAATTTTGGTCTCTCCTTTGCGTGGTAACGGACACCCATGCTATCTCTGTTTTATCTTTTAGCCTGATGATTAAGGCCCAGTGGTATCTGCTCAGATGGGACTTTCAGTTCTAGATTTACAGAATATAGCAAGGAAGAAGTTCTGCTTGAGGTACTCACATGTCTTCCTTGCCTGGTATTGTGGGACTGCCTCCGCGAGCATATAGGGAAACATACAGATGATCTTTGTTGGATAGCATTGTGCAGGTGACTCTTCACGAAAGACTGCCTGATTGAGTGCTGATTAGACTGGCTATGGGCTCAGATGATGGTTGACAGAAAAGGCCTATACTCTTCAACTTGTGCACGAGTGGGCTTTGAGGGCCTTTATAACAATGGCCTCTCTAGCTTCCGAACTGTTGGCCTAGAGTTATTAGCCGCTGCCTGCGCGATGAGACATGACGTGTCTCGAGTTGAAGCTCAACTTCCAATCTGCGCTTCTGCTAAGAATAGAATCAAGCCAGTGGGCGCTTAGACTACTTACCTGGTCCAATGTGAGTTTGATGTGTGGAATAGCCGTAGTGTACAGAATATTAATAATGGGTCTTCCATTCGCTTTCGCGGCGCTGTTGGTTTCTAGTTGCCGCCCGGATTCCTCGTCCCAAAGAATCATAGGCCGCGACCATCGTGGTAGATCCCTGCGTTTTTGATAGCTGCCTGCCCCACTGTTCACTGTCAATCCTCGAACCATACGCTTTGATCAGTGTAATGTCTACAGGGCCGATCACCGGAGAATCACCACGTTCTATGCTACAGGAATATTGCAATACTATTTGGCGAGGGAGCAGTCGAGCCACTGGCTGTCTTGTGACGCTGGGTCCGAATCCTAGCGGTTATCGTCATTTCTGACCTGGTAGACAGAAAACAACCCGCCGAAGACAATAAGCAACCGAAAGTCAAATACTAATAACCTTCTGGACCGACGGCAAACAGGGAGGGACACCGAGCCTTGAAAGCGACATATCTAGAGTGACACCGGGGCAATCCATCGACAGTACAGATGGAGAAAGCGACGCCACAGCAACGAGACCACCACAGACCCTTCAAGGAGCTTCGAAGGCTGACAAGGTGGTGGGGCTCTCACAAGGCTCAGGTGCACTTACCGTCATAACCGAATATCGGAGCCCTCCACCCAGATTCCATGTGTCACCATCCTCAAAAGCACTACGGCTGACTCGCGAATACGTTTGATGTCTGAGAGCCTGTTGGATGAAGATGGCAATGTGCCGAATTCAATGAGCTCACTCTCACAGGAGCTATCCATCGTTGGTGGATCTACTTCTGCGGCAGGCGAAAAGACCTTCATCACTGGCTTCTCGGAACGTCTACCTTCCATAACGTTCAATGGACTGAAAGAACTGACTCACATAACCACATTGGGTACACCGCAACGGCTGGAAGTGGACAGTACCCAGTTCACCTCACCGAACCCTGCGCCTGCAAGCCACCATGCACAGTCGCAGGTAGTTACAAACCAGGCAGCCCCCGGTTGGATGATATCTTCGAACCATCCGTCCACCGTAGTTGGCTCAGTGTCGCCGTCTGGTAGGGTGACTGTATCAGACATTCCCTCGCAGGATGCTGGGAACAAGGCAGGTGGTGATGCCTTACCTAGCCTTACAGATGCATCTACGTCAGACAGAACTTGGATACTGTTGAAAAATATAACAAAGGATATGAGACCCTAGACTGATAGGAACCATGTCCGGACACCTTTTTAGCCTAGTGGTAATATATTCCAATACCTTCACAGCATTTCTGATGGTTATATGAATCTGACTTCAGGTTGCTTGCTATATTACTCGGAAATGGCCACAGCTCATATCGGTTTGACGCTACTATCTTATCTTCTTACCCGGCCGCCCCATCATAGTTATATGAGCGGCTGCGACGGATTATGAGTAAATCCGAACAAACAAAGGCGACAGAAAGCCGCATCATTTCATAGCTGCATCGTTCCATAGTTGCTATAGTTGCTACTGTTGCACATGATCTCTCTTAGGTTGTTGAGGGGAGGTTTCAATCTGCTCGCGAAGTGCTCGCACGTCGTCCTGTAGCTGACCATTGATGGTTTAACAGCATGTTGATCACGGTTCGCTTGCGGGAGATCTGCTTTAGTAGGTCCGATGACTGCTCTCCGGTATCCAGTTGTCCGCTGATCTTTTCCTAACATATATCCTTCCACTTAGTTGGCTCAAGCTCGTATTCGCTTTTGCTACTGTTCTAATGGGACGATCCCGAAGACTTGGCGGTGGAGAGCTTCGCCGACTCCGAATACGACCACTGCCTATTGCGGAAGCTCTATGTGGCCGGTCAGTTGGCACATATATATATACATATATGTATGTCTACTTCCATTGATCTCCCTCATATGCTCAATTTCCAGCACCGCGGACTTTCTCAAAATTCGCTGTCATAATGCAAATCTTTTGCTTAGTTGCCTTCGCAGGGCTTTTTGTAGCTTCATCAGCGCAACTTCCAACAGCCCCTGAGCTCGTTCCTGTCCCATCCTATTCCGGCTGTCCCCCAGATGGTCCCCTTCTCCCTCGTCCAACCGATTTAGCGAACTCAAAGTACATACAAGGCGCAGCAAAGACCCTCTCTAACATTCTAGACTCCGCCGTACAAGGAAAAATCAAAGCTGGCTGGGTCGTTGAGAATGTTTCCTTTTCTCTAGCATTAGTCTCACCGTATGGTGCATCAGGTGCTGAGGATAACGTGAGACCTTTTTGGGAATATCACCATCGTGCGGACAAGAACGAACAAGGCACAGCCAACATTGATGGAAATACACAGTATCTGATCGGCTCAGTATCCAAGGTGTTTTCCGACTTGATGCTGCTTAAGTCTGGAGTTGATTTACAGGCTCCGGTTACGCATTTTCTGCCGCAGTTGCGCTCTAATAAGTCAAAGATCCGGTGGGAAAATATCACCTTAGAAATGCTGGCTGGTCATCTGGCTGGTATACCTCCGAACGGTAAAGGTCCCCATCTTTCGGTTGTGTTGTATGATACGTGCTGAGATCGGGTAGCTTTCTACGAATTTTACTTCCTCAACTCCTTCCACGAAAGCCTCGGATTACCTCATCTTAATGATTCTGAATATCCCGAGTGCGGAGTCCTGGGCCTGAATAGTGGCTGCAGCAGAGAGCGTATGTCTTTTTAAGCAGGTGTCTGACCATAACACAACGACGGGAGCTAACAATACCTACAGAGATGATCGAGAGCCTTCTGTCGAAAGAGCAAGTGGCTCCAATAAACTCTAGGCCGATCTATTCACAGCTCTCGTTCACCCTCTTCGCGCTCTGTCTTGAAGCCCACACAGGCAAGAACTACTCGCAGATACTAGACGAGACCATTTATAAACCCTTGAATCTCGTCAACTCCGGGGTATCCCCAGGAACTACGGAGCGGGCGGCTGTTCCCCCAGGTTTATCAGGCTGGGGAAACGATTACGGATTCAACGCCCCGTAAGTATCTCCATCCCCACCAGTATTTTGAGCAGAGCTAACATTGGCATATCAGCGGTGGTGGTCTCTACTCCTCCACCAACGACCTAAGCATCTTTCTCGGCGCTATTCTCAACCATAGCATCCTTGACACCCCAGCTGACGTGCGTAAATGGCTCAAACCATTGTCCACAACCAGTTCCCTCAACAGCCTGGTCGGACGACCCTGGGAAATTCTCCGTGTAACAGACCTCCTCCCTCCCAAACATGCTCACACAGTCGATATTTACGCCAAATCTGGTGGTGCAATGGGTTATATGGCTCAGGTTGCTGTTATCGACCAATATGGGGTCGGTGTTATTGTACTTACCGCGGGGCCCGTCGACGCAATGGATATCCTTTACCGCGCTCTCCTTGGTACATTTGTTCCAGCTATTGAAGAGGAAGCACGCTTCCAAAGTCATCGATTCGCAGGAACTTGGGCATCGAAGACCTCGCCGCCATCCAACGAGTCTCAGACGCGCAGTAACGAGAAAATCAAGCTGACTCTGGACATCGACGACGGAACAGGCATTAGGTTGGTGTCCTTCACTCGTGGCAACGCCTCAATCGTCGATGCTATAAAAAAAATATGGGACGCCGAATACCTTGCCCTCGGGTTTGGTATCATGCCCGACACATTCCGTATCTATCCCACGGGTTTGAAAAACCCTGTCCCGGCCTCCGAAGTTGAGTCTCTCCTTGCTCAATCGAATTCACATTCACACCTTCACCACTCCCGGAGCTATGATGACAAAGACAAGGTGAGAGTTGAGCGCCAGGAATGGCGTATTAACCTCGATATCGTCCCACTTAACGGCGCAGCCATGTCGGATCTTCCGGGGCAAACTACGGCCACACAGTACTGTGGCTCGTGGCAGACGGTGGACTGGATGACGTATGGGGGATCGGTCTAGATAAGGTCGTGTTTGTGGTTGATACAGTTGGTGGGGTTGTTTTAGGTGTTGAGGTCCCTGCGCTGAGGGCTGGATTGCTGACTCGCCACTGAACCTTAAGTTCCGCAACGGAGCCATGGGGACGTGGAGTGGATGGCAGGCAAATACTATCTTATCTCCAGGAGCTTACTTTGCACCAGTTTGGGGTACTTTTTGCTAAATGCCCACTACAGTGACTCTTCGTCGGACATTCTCACTTGAGACAAGGGGGAAAATCATTGACCTGTAGCTGTCGGGCTATGGGCGACACTCTCAACCAGCTCTACCTTGACCAGTCCTAACATATGTGCAAATCTATATTACATTCATAACAACAGTTAATTTTGACCTGGCCAGCGAAGACCAAGGCGTATTTGGATGGCAAGGCAACTGTTGCTCCACCAGGACATGGAGCCGTTTACACTACTGTTCACACTGGTTGATGGAACCTAAACCAAGAGATTCCTAACGAAGGGAACCGACGGGTCTGCACGATCAGTCCGGCCCACACCTTGGCATCACCTAGTTCTTTCTCCTCATTTTCGTTACGAGTAACACGAGTGTCATATTCAGTTACTCAGAATGGGTTACCGGCTCTTGGGGGAAATGAGTTGCATTGGGGGCGTCAAAGAAATGGTAGGACTCACTCCCAGAGGATGGGAGTGTGCAGAATAAAGCCTACTCGCGAGTATGGATGAAGGGGAGAATAACACTTCGTCTGGAGTGATTTGACGCACATCGGCATACTAGCTTCAGACATCTCTAAGCTCCCGGGATAATAAACAGTTCTAGACACCTATCATTTGTTCTGGTTGGCATGGTTATCGTATCAAAACCAACAAATGATATATCAGGGTGGGCTCCACAGTTGACCTGCTCCTAGCGTTGAAGAACACCCAATGTGGGACCATGAACTTGGCCATTTTGGCACCCAACGAAGGATCTACTCTGCTCCCCCCCTCCAACCGAGTAGATGCCCCGTACACCACCGATACACTCTACGCCGGCCTGCAACTAGTCATGCCGAATGAGACCGCCCCAGCGCACCGACACACCGCGTTTGCGATGCGCTATATCATCGAGGGGCAACGGGGGCTTTACGGCGGTGCATGGCCGACGCATCCGCATGCAGAAGGGAGATGTGATCCTAACGCCTACTTGGAACTACCATGACCATGGCAAGGATGGCAGCGGCCCGATGATCTGGCTGGACGGCCTGGATCTGCCCAACTTCCGACACTTCCCGGTCCATTTTGTCGAGCGCTTCAGCGAGCCTCGCTACCCGGCCGAGGATGGCGACACGTCTGACTCTCCCATTGTCTTTTCCCCTGGGACCAGATGAAGGCTCGGTTGGATGAGACGGAGGGCAATTGGGCCACACAGCGCTATCTGAAAGCCGATGGTCGAGAAGGTAAGCCCGCTCCTGACGCCCCAAGCCCTCCTTTCTGCATGATTGGGACTAACGGATGGGGCGGGGGAAACGGTTAGTGAGTCGTGTTCTGGGCGGCTGCGCAGAGAGGCTGAATGCGAGCACATCGTCCCCGCCGCGCCGGCAAGACACCCTGTCCGCTGTTTATCATGTCATCACCGGCAAGGGTCGCTCGGAGGTCGGAGGTCAAGCGCTGGAATGGGAGGCGGGAGACACTTTCGGTGTACCCGCCTGGCATGCCTACCAGCATTTTGCCGATGCGGGCGAGACAGTCTATCTCTACCGCTTCGACGATAAGCCGATGATCACGGCGCTAGGCTTCTATCGGTCGGCGGAGGATGATACCGAGAATCTAATCTCCGACTGAAGAAGGGGAGGGGGAGGGGTGCTCTGATGCAGTTCTTTACCTTTAGTGGTGCAATGTGCAATTTCTCACCTGGGAAGAGTTACCTTATCAAGGTACCATGTCAGAGTAGTCTGGTTGCGAGTTGGACTGCAGGAAATGGAGTGATGGATAACTATATCCTTGGAACATAACTAGGTGCCTAGTCAGGCGACCTGTAGTATTCTAGCCATAGCACTAGGATAAGGAAACCCAGAACACAGGTCACATGAATCTCATGTTGGGTAGGCGAGGGTCTATGAGGGAGCTTATTTAACAGTTATACAGATTACGCAATTATACAGCTGCCGGAAGGATGCTCGGCCGTCTTGGATACGGAAGGCCGCGACATTTCCGTCCCCGTTGAACCACTGTCTCTTTGTCAGTTTGCTGGATGCCTGGGGAGGGGGTGGTTTTTTACGGGGTCATCTCCAATGAAGGGAGGCAGTTGAGGATCGGGCATGACCCTATAAAAGACTCCATCGATCTCCTTGGGGATCGCACCATATACTTCCACTTGGGATACATCTCCTTCCACGCGACAGGGCTTCATGAACCCCGAAAATTGAGGGCGATCGGATCGGGAAAGCACGTTCTCATCTCGGACATCTGGGATGCCAATGATTGTGTGGAATAATCTGTAAAAAGGAAATCCCTGTTGAAGGGGACGCTTATAGCATCCGCCAGGGTAACGGTATACGCCGATGTAATCTGTCTCCTTCCCACAACTGTGGCGCAGTGCCTGGTACTGGTCAACGTGGTGAAGAATTTGGTGGCGTTTATGTTTCTGTACGAGGCAGTGGAGTGGGTGCAGAGCCAGGGCTATCTGCAGCTGTATCTGGTGATGTTTGCGCTGGGGCTGGTCACCATCGGGGCGGCGCTGCCAACTGTATCTCTTCCACGGGAAGCGGCACCGCCGGATCTTTCGCTTGCTCTCTTGTTGATAGGGCTATTCTACTTGTGTAGTTATAGAGTTAAGCCTAGGTCCTGTTGTTTATTCTAGATGCAAAAAGAGGGAGGTTGAAATACTACTGTCTATCGCCTGTGGTAGAACAGCATCACCACAAAAGGTCGAACCCTAAGCAGGTACACCCTAGCTGCACTGGATCAGGGTATATAGTAAGACTAGACAAGAAATGGCCCAGTCATATCCCTTATTAATTCATTTACTTACTACACAGAAGTATGGCAGTAGTTGTAACTTGAATTGAGGTTCCTTAATCATCCTAAACACCAAACCCCTAGCAGCATTAGGACTGGAAGAATGGAATAATACCTGGGCAGCTTACTTTTTAGCTAAACTACTCGAACATTATAGATATACCACAGGGCGAGTAATATTTAAACAAACAAATAAATGCTTCGTTTTTAATTTCGGCCATGCAATACCGACTTTGTCTTGGCCAGTCCATCTAACCTTTCCCCAAGTTTACTATCATATAGCCTCTCACCAGTTTAAACAGAGACTCGGTCTCCTCTTGCTGATTTGAATCTTTCTATATAGCTCGGGGGGAAGGATTAGGCTTTTAGCATCCATGAACGGGAGTTGTCACACCTGTCAACTGTCCAGAGCAGATGCTTTAGATCTGGATTTTACTCTGAGTGTATGGGTCCATCAGGAACGGCATGCGACTGCTTGCGACCATCCAGATCGTCTGTCCCCTCCGGACACCCATTGAGCATCCATGCACGGAAGTTGTCACACATTTCGACTGTCCAGAGCGGATGCTTTGGATCTGGATTACTCTGGGTGTATGGGTCCATCTGCAATGGCATGCGACCGCTTGCAACCGCCCAATAGATGTTATGGCAGTGGTATTTTACGTCCTCGTACTGCGACAGCTTATACCAGTACTCGCTGTACATGCAGTCGACGTCCTCTTTCGTGAAATAGCCCTTGATTGTGTTGTTCCAGGTGATACTGGTCGGGAGGGGATCGGCCGCGGGGCGTCGATACTTGGTCGTGCGGAAGATCTTGAAATCACTGCTGGTGATGAATGGAAAGACTTTATGGTTGGCGATGATGGTACTGATGGACACCTTGCCCGTGGTCGCGGCAGTGAGCTGGGTCCAGGCCCGATTGAAAGGGTAGCCCATTCCTCGGGGATCCGGATACTTCTGGTCTTCCAGGATGGCACCGCAGAAGCTGAGAGCAGAGGTGGGGGAATTGTGATGATCCAACGCGTCGTCCGTCGCCATGCAGGAAGCGACGAACGGCATCCCTTCCGGTTTACCGGCGGGAAGCATCAGATTCTGCGGCCACCCACAGCGACACCACGCGGAAGCGTACGTTGGGTCTGGTTCGCCGTAGTTTCTCGTCTTCCGGGCAACCGACGATTCGGTGTCGCGACGCACCACGGTGAGGATGGAAGGCTCCTCCGTGAGGGTAACTGTGACCTTGTCCATCTCGATCCAGTGGTGGTAGTAGTTCACGAGATCTTTTGCCGCAATGAAGAACCTCAGAGTCAACTTTTGAGGGTTATCGACCGACGGTGGTATTTCGCGGGAGCTGTGGACTTGCACACTCCATTCATACGGCTCATGATCCAGTTTGGCTTTGCTCTCCAGGAGATCCGCTGCAGGTGGCCCTAAGAAAGTGGTAACTCCGCCGTCAGCATAGAGAGGTGACCCGGCGTCCTGCGGCCTTATGACCAGTTTCGACAGACGGACTTGGGCCCGATGCTTGGTAATATCTTGAGGATACCTGGTCCCAGCAAGCTGACCGAATCCTTGGAGATGTTTGTACCACGGCCAGAAACAAGGGTCCCGAGGTGCGGCAAAATTGGATATCATGAGACCGTAGGGAACCTTTTCCTTTTCGTTATCCCGATACGACATTTCCGAGAACTTGCCCAGCCCGTAGTTGTGTAGGATCCCGTATTTGACGGCATCGATTTCAAAGTCATCTGGCAACGGGTCAAAAAAGGCATACTGTGCGTCGAGCAGGCCACCGACGTAGTTCAGACAGTTCTCTCCGGTCAAGGCCAGCGGTCTTGTTATTGTAGTTGACTTTTTGCCCTTGGGCTTGGTCACCATATATCCCGTCTTAATCGCCTCGTAAATATTATCTCGCCACTCTTCCATGTCAGCAACGCCAATAGTCACGCCGGGGACGTCTTTCATATCTGGGTTTCTGATACGGTACCAGCTGGAGAATGCCGGATAACCTCCGTAGTAGTCCAACAGCGCTGGCAGCGGCTGATATCCATACTCAAGCACGTCGTCGTACTGGTCCCATGGCCTCACAAGAGGAAGGCCCCAGCATAGCCCTTCGGTGTCATAGCGAGCCACCATCTGTGAATGCGTGTACAAGAATAGCTCTCCTTGACGGTCAATGGTCCTGACATTCTTCGAGTTGTTTCCGCCAGCACCGCGAAACACCATGTGCCAGTGGTAATGGGCATCGTTCATGTCGTAATCGTCCCGCCAGTACGACAATAATGCAGGGCCTTGAAGTGTGTCGGCTGTAACCACTTCCCCAGCAACCGCTGTCGGCTGCGGGGCCCGGAGAGTCTCCGGTCGTTGCGCTCGGAATACCGGATGCTCCTTCAAAGCCGGCGCGTGGATTTTGCGCTCCTGAGCATCCTTGGAGTGGGTGAGGTAGACGCCCAGCGCGTGGTGCATCAGCTCTGGATTGACTCCCTCCTCGAGAAGCTCCCTCCCCTTCACGATCCCATGCTCTACCTTGGGCCCAGCAGCTTCAAGCTGCCGATGGATGTTGCTCATTTCATCCTCATGCTCGTGGCTTATGTGATAGTAAGGTTTGTGGTGGCGCTGGACATGGCAGGCAAAGATTTCGTTGACATGCTTGGAGACCTGCATTTTTGCTGTGGCACCTCCCCAGGAAGAATCAGGAACAGGGCATCTGCCTTTCTCACCGTCGACGACAGCAGAATCCTACAGATATGTTTAGACCAGCAATCAGTGCAGATGTAGATGGGGAGAGACTGAATATCACAAACCTTCTTAGGATCCGTCTTAGGAGCTCCTCGTGTGTCCGACATTGTGCTTTTGAGCTTTGAGTTTCAACAAAGATACCTGTCGCCTTATTTGAAATGTATCACTGTGCTTATTGCAGTGTTGGATGAATCTAATTCTAAATTTATCAAGGTCACTCGAGGAGTTTAAATGTTACTAGCTCATTTATCTCACATTCCCCTAATTCTACAATCCTTTCACTGCGACCTACTTTCACCACGGATCAACATGTATTCTCTGGCCGTACAAGCGGCTCTTGCCCTCTTTCTTCTTTACTACAGCCTCAACATCATACACTCACTATACTTTCATCCCTTACGACGTATTCCCGGGCCTAGATTATGGATTATTTTTCCAGTTCTACGACACATCTCCGCAGTTCGGGGCAGGCTGGATCTCGACATCCCCCGCTTCCATGCTGTGTATGGCCCTGCAGTGCGCTTCGGGCGCGACGAAGTCTCGTTCATCACTCCAGAAGCGTGGAACGATATATATGGACATGGGCACCGACAGTTGCCCAAGGTGTTGAACTCGGCCAGCAACCCAATGGACATAGTCAGCTCCAGTGACGCAGATCATACTCGGTTTCGCAAATCTTTATCTCACGCCTTTTCCGCTAGAGGGCTGCAAGCTCAGGAGCCTTTCATTAATACCTACGTTGATAAGCTTATTGCCCAGTTGAAAGAAGTTGCCAAATCTCAATTGCCAGCAGACATGGCCAAGTGGTTCAACCTGATTACGTTTGACATTATCGGTGATCTAGCCTTTGGGGAGCCCTTTGGTGGTCTCGAAAGCTCACAGTATCACCATTGGGTGGCGACAATCTTCGAGTCAGTCAAGCTCTTCCCATTTGTCAAAATGAAAGACACCTACCCGACAGTCTTCAACTTGGTATCCCTTTTTGTGCCCAAAAGACTCCTGGAGGCACAAAAAGACCAGATTGCACACGCTAGGGAAGCAGTGAAGAAAAGGCTCCACAACTCATCTGCGTATAACCGCGGTGACTTCATGGACTCGATGTCTCGTAACCGCGGCAAAGATGACGGCTTGACCGAGGAAGAGATGGTGGCTAATGCAAATATCCTCATCATTGCCGGCAGCGAGACAACAGCCACTCTACTCGCTGGCGTGATTTACTTCCTCCTGCGGAACCCTGATGCCCTCGCAAAAGTAGTAACCGAGGTGCGCTCCATGATGGAGACAGAAGCTGATATCACCTGTAACTCTGCGGGTGCCAGACTTCCCTACATGCTAGCGTGTATCCAAGAGGCCTTCCGGCTGTACCCTCCAGTTCCGACAGGGCTGCAACGCATGACTCTCGACTCCATGACCATCGCTGGTTATGACGTTCCACCTGGCGTAGGTGAACCTTGGAACTTGAGATTCTTGATCCGTAGCGTTAGGGCTAACAGCTAACTCAATGTAGACAAAAGTGTCCGTCCACCCAATGGGGGCATCCTGGTCATCCCTTAACTTCTACGCACCCGACCGCTTCCTCCCTGAGCGATGGTTGCCAGAAGTGAAGTCCGACCCAACCTCGCCCTTCTTTTTCGATAAGCGCGAGGTTGTTCAGCCGTTTTCTGTAGGGCCGCGCAACTGTATTGGGAGGAATCTGGCATTCGCTGAAATGCGGCTTATCCTCGCTCGTCTGTTGTGGAACTTTGACCTGGAGCTTTGCGAAGAGAGTTTGGCTTGGTCGGACCAGAAGGCTTACACCATCTGGGAGAAGCCTCCCTTGATGTGTAAGTTGTTTTTAAGGGGGTCATCTACCTAAGTTACCCACGGCAGGCAAAATCGGTTATCTAAAATGTGAAAGCCCATCTTATGCTTCTACATTTACCTCCTAAGCCGTTAGGGGAATTGAATCGAGTTTGTGACAGTAGCTTGTAATTGAGAGGTGTCCAGTGCAACATTCTACCAACTAGGCCAGGGGGGGACATTATGGCCAGCCTCAATGGGTCCGATCAATACCAGAGGGGTTGACTTCCATCACATGTGAGGTCCTCTGAGGTGGATCGAGATCTGCTCTCCTCCTTCCAATAGAGTACTAATACTCATCTCAACCCAGAATGACGCCTTGTTAGCTGATATGGTTACACGGATGGCGCTGGAGGAGGAATAGGACTCATATAGATATGCCGCACCACAGCTCTATCAAGATTGAAGTTAGTTGGTCAGAAGGGATGATCGAAAGTCTCTCTGTCGTTGAACATGAGCTTCGCTTCAACAAAAATGATAAACCAGAGGGTACACAAATTGACCTAGAACAAGACGACTGGCTTAGAGAGATGGCAGACACGGGACAGTTATTGCTGGTGTCTTTATACGCCTCCGTCTATTTCATGCAAGCGATGCTTCTAGCACGTGCAGGAGATACGGATCATGATGGCTACCAATGAGTCGGGCCATTGAGATTGCCATCTCGGCGAAGGAATCGACAGGCTTGTATCAGGCTAGCTGTAGGAACGTGCATGTCATAGATGTAAAGTCTGTCAACCAGGTAACCGAATCAAGCAAGGGATTTACAGAGTTCTCTGGAATTCGGATTTGAGTAATTATTAGACTAGATATGAGAAATATGCCATATCGCAGTTCAACTCGCTGATTAGAGCCTGATCAGTCTGAAAATGAAGCTTCCAATTTTGCTTTTTCTGTCCCCCTGCTTCATGTCTTCAGTTAGTCCCTCTGCAATAACGTAATTTTACGCCATTTTTATCAAGCAGGGAGCATTCGGGTGCGGTTGCTGTCATGGCCCATATGAGTTTCACTTTATCCCACGAGATTTTTGGTTTGGCCAGCATGCTTTATACAAGGCCCTTTCTCAGATAGCTTTTATAGGACATACTCACAGCTAGGTGAAATCTCCTCTATAGGATGAGGGTTCCAGTGCTCAATGGCTCTGGTATTACGTTACAACCTACAAGCGGATTTTTTGGAGGGCGTACTGATACTCATATGGCAACATGCAGAATCATCATTTAATGTGCCGTGAAATAAGTCTACCTACGAATAGAGCTTATAGTCAACCTCCAGCGTTACTGAAGACTGGGGTTCTTATAGGTGAAGGAGCCCTGCCCGGGAACAACAATGTGGGCTGAACTGCTTAGCTCACTCTGGAGCTTCTGCTCAGTGTCTTGCAACGGGACTAGAGTTGAAGGCTTCTTTAAGATTCTTGGCTACGGCTTCCCTCCAGTTATCGACATCATTCCTCAGTGACAGCCGGGGCTCCTTCGATATCTGAACTGACGACCTCAGATCTAGTATTGAATGTGTCGTCCTTCAGATTAAGCGATATCTCCACCCCTCTCTGTCCAGCCTGAACGACGACTTGCGTACTCCAAGAGAGGCTCCCTCGAATCCTGTTACAATGTCAGCATTCCTCGCCCAAGTTGCACCGGCGCACCAAGATTGCGTACGTGTAGTTGTACCCCATCAATTGATAGGATCACCTGAACTTCCGGCTACTTTAATCTTGACGTAGCTTCTGCCGCTGACATCGATAGTGTTGGACCCTGGATATCCAGTGAGAGAATTATTGATTTCACCCTGGGGTGATTCAACTTAGTTCATTATTGCACGACTCGTTGCTCTCCGCTCTTCTTCTGAGGCGTACTTACAATCATTAATCAACCTGCTGGAAACATGATTCATACTGGGTTCGTATCTGTCTTCGATAATTTGCTCATACTTGGCGGCCGGGGAGAACTTCCACTGTAGGGGTTCATTTCCTGGATGGATCTGCGCGAATGAACATTCAGATAACCACCTGCGGTGTTTATGCAGACTTCCATGGTGACGGTGTCTTATACTTGACCAGTTCCAGATATCGGGACAGGACGGTTGTTCATGCTGCCTACGAGACGCAGAACTATGCCGAGCCGACGCCGTTCGCACAATGGACGACCAAGACCTTGAACCCCGGGGAATTAGATCTAGGGGGACTGACTGGTGTTGAATTGGAATGGACGGGCACGGGACGGTTTGGGGGTGCTACCGAGCTGAGCTCAAGGGGAGTACGGGGAACACTGTGGAAGCGAAGAGAGAACCATCGCGAACTCGTCCTTGCAGCTTTGAAAGCACGTACCTACTATTTTGTTGTTTGCATTTGGTATCCGTTGCTACAGGTTGACAACCACATCCTGTGGCGGGACTTTTTCTTTCTTTTTATTTAGCTAAGGTCGCTTCAGGGACCCTATATGGGAACACTAACACTAATTTAGCTCCGAACATAGACACAAAGGCAGTCGGTATGAGGCGCAGATTGGCCGCCGAGGAGGGAGAGTCTGGAAGTACATCGTGAGGACTCTGTTCGTAGGTGATGTGTGGCTTTCTGCCCACCCACACTGTTTTGCTGTGAGTGCGCCATACTGTAACCAATACTATTGCCATTCTTCTTCTAAATACATGAATTAGCGCTGCATTGGCTCACTTTTGCTACCCTTTCTGCTTTGACCGTGCCCAGTTTGGCTGCATACCCCCGGTTGGTGGCTTGCAACTGTATCTTTTCCCATCTTCCTCTACGAACTGTCTCTCTTTAGCCATATCTTCTTTAACCTCTTTTAGTCGGAATTGATCGGTTCGCGCCGGGTATGGTTAATATACCAGTGTGACTCAGACCGTTGATCTGTCGCTTGGTCTTAAAATTGCCGTATAGGCTTTTGCGTGTCCCTAGTCCACTTGATCGTATCGTTGGTACTAGGTATGGCCCTAGCTGGCTTTGACGAGAGTTAATTGGCCACATCTAGAGCAATGCTCGTGTTGGAATTGCCAAAACGTCCTCATCTAACCGGATTTGGGGAGACAAGAAGATATAAACACCTGGTCCTAGTCCTCATTTCTCTCCGTCGCCCTACTGTGCTGGATTCATTTCGATTTCTCTAAAAGCACAAGTTTCCTAAAAGCAACGGAAACAAAGACAGGAAAGAGAAGGAAGCATGGCTCGAGTCCTCCTCACTGGTTCGTATTTCATTCACTTCAAGAGTGAAATTTACGAGAGCCTAGCTTCAACTGACAGCCACTAACAGGCGGTAACGGATTCCTTGGAAGCCATGTTCTTGGTCTCCTCTTGGATCGAGGGTAATTGCAATTCACTATCAGCCTCCGTCCCCCCAGCTTTACCCATGATACTTACGTGTTCCCAGATATTCAGTCGTAGCCACTGTCCGCAGTCACGAGAAGGCTGAGCAGATCCGTGAATGCCACCATCTACATGCATCTACCACTCAGCTACGAGTTATCATCGTTCCTGACTTTACGAGCGCTGGTGCTTTTGATGAATGTTTCAAAACCGACGCGCCCTTCGATATGGTCATCCATACTGCGTCTCCCTTTCGCTACTCGATAACCGATATTCAGCGAGAACTCTTGGATCCTGCAATCGGTGGGACTATTGCGTTGCTGGAAGCAGTTCGGAAAAGTGCACCATCTGTTAAGAAAGTGGTACGCTTCCCGCATGGTAGTGAAATGAAGCAAGACTTGCTTGGCTTCAGTTCCCGAGGTTTGTTTTTAACCAATTGCAGATCGTCACATCTTCTTTCGCATCGATCATCAACAGCTATAAGGGGAACAGTTGGGTCGATCATGTTTATTCCGAAGAAGATTGGAACCCAATTGCCCTTTCGGACGCTCATTTAAATCCTCTCAACGGATACAGAGGTTAGAATTCACCTCCTCGTCCGACCTGATATTCCTATATTTGAACTAAAAGCTTCGATCTAGCAAGCAAGACTTTTGCCGAGCGAGCATGTTGGGAGTTTCTTGAGAGAGAGAACCCACCTTTCTCTCTGGTTACGTTATGTCCAACATTGATGTTTGGCCCAGTGATACACCCACTGCGCAACCACGACGAACTCAACACGTCGAACCAGCGGATCCGAAATTTTATGGTAGGCGAATATAAAGCTGAAATCCCTGACACAGGAACATCGTTCTTCCTCTGGATAGATGTTCGTGACGCCGCCTTGGCCCATATAAGAGCGATGGAAGCTCCAGGAGTCGCGAATAAAAGATTCTTATTGACAGCTGGTTACTTCTCAAACAAGGAGATCTGTGAAGTCATCCGAGAATCCTTCTCGGAGTACAGACCGCAACTCCCAGAACAAAACACGGGTGGTGGTGGGTATCCCCCCGGAGGACTTTACAGGTTTGACAACTCCCAAGCAACAGAGAAGCTTGGCTTGACATATCGGACACTGTCCTCGAGCATTACTGAGACTGTGATATCGTTACAAAAATTACAAAAATAGGATAGAATTCCTGAAGCGGATTTAAACGACACTTGTTTTACTGAGTATGTAATTTATTGTCCATTTCAAATATTAGAAACAAGATTTCTGCTCTGTCTCCTACTGCATCAACTCAGCCTTCAGTCAGCCCCGTGCAGAGCCACTCATGATAGGTTAGTAGGACTCGCAAAACGGCGTCAAGTGTAGCCATTTTGGGCCGCTGGCTAACTGTTTCATCGTTATATAGAGTAAACTCTGTCAACCATGTAGCCGAATCCGGTAAGGGATTTATGGACTTCCGACTTGAGTAATTAGACCATGAGAAATATGCCACATTGCAATTCAACTCGCTGTCTAGAATCTGATTGGTTTGAAATTGCTTCCAATTTGCTTTTTTTGTCTATAAATTCTAGTAAGGCACCTGCAGGGAAGCTGCCTTAGGGCTGCATAGCCAACAGGAGCGCTAAGAGCAAGCTTCATTGCTAAACTTTTTCGCGGAATCAGTATATCAAACTCCTTAAGTAGAGAAATGAAGCTGGAACAAGAGATTGCATTCATGATATCCTAATCAATCATACCATATCCCTGGGCCCATGTCTCTCCTATTATGGCGCTGTTATTAGCTGATATAAGAGGTTGCAAAGTCACATCCTTGTGTCATAGTAGGATGAAGCTTTGACCCCAAATGCAATGTGGATGAAGCTTAACTTGCAAGTTACCCAACTAACGTGTGCTTGACAGGCCATAGGATGCTATGCTGCATGATCTGATCGTAGAAACTTACAGGATGATCTTCTGTTTTCCTACCTTCACTCTTTGCATATACTTTTTTTTCAGTCTCAGGTCAGCCAGCCACAGTCAGTGGAAATATGGCACAGCACATAAAAAAGAAGCTCTGGATCACCATATAGCCCAAAACTAATATGCAACTGACTGGGCTTGGTTACACTGCCCAACTTTGGGTCATGCACAGGATGGGACTACCGCCAATTGTGTCCGCGGACTTGGACGCAGTTAGGTTATTGAGTACTTAGTTCGATTGACCTGCATTTACCATGGCTTGTCTTGCGTCCTTACTCCTCAAGATAGACATGATGGCCACCTAAAGCAGCAAATGCTGGACCACTAACCTTAGATGCATAGCAGCAGGTGTGATGTCGAGGAACATGTGCAGGCTGCCCAAGAGCACACATTATAATGCTCCCCTATAAAACTCACCATCGCGCACTCAGGTTGTCCCACTGCCGTCTTAGAAGTATTATTTCTTCCTCTACTCTTTTCCTAACTGTCCACTAATCCTACTGACCATTGAACATGGGCCTACCAACTCTCTACCACTTTCTAATTTCCCTTAGCGTTGTTCAACAGCCTTGCAAGAGCCGACTACGACCGCTTCTGTCCTGCTCAGAGCCCACAAAGTCCAAGTTGACTTAAACCTTCTACACCATCACTTGCAGTACATCCCTGCTTTCTGGCCTCAGTAAGGTACAGGAGAAATGCATCACCCGAGGACTGCGCTCGACTGTGCACGGCGGATCCAGAATGCCATGCCACAGTCTGGTATTCAGGCCAATGCTGGCAGTCAGATTAAGCGGACACTGCCTCATTCAGTGGCTCGAATGCGATCCTATTAGTTCCTGGCGAGAAACATCAACCGGATACCGGTGCTCCATCTGCTCCTAGCCCGGTCCCCAACTGTCAAGAACAGGTGGACCCGGCTGCGGCAGGTGCCGACGACCTGTGCGAGCAAAGAAAATCGAGCAGCGGTTGCGTGAGGAAGATGCGAAGGTAGGTGCTGTTAACTTAATTAGCAAGAGCATAATTTGAGGAGAAATACATGCTAATAATGTGCAGATTGATAATTGTAAGGGTTCTCACTACAGTTCACAGAGTTGGCTTTCTAACCTCCCTTTTTCGCGCTCTATAAAGATGGTGTTCACATGGTGCTGTGTCCTTTAGGACTGCCCATGGTGTACGCTTTAGGATATGGACGGAGCTGAAAGTAAGTCTTACCTCTCAAGAAGGAAGAAGAGCATTTTCTTACATGCAAGATAGCCTTTAACGCCTACATGCTAAACCGATTAGGACTTACAAAGGGCTTCAGAGGTTGCACAGAACAATGTGCTCTAAACACTAACTGCCCGGTCACTCCTTTTCAAGTAGAAACCACGGAGTGTTCTGAATACCCGATAGCCCGAGACCCAAACGCTAGAGCCTACCATGTTGTAAGTTTCAGGCGTACCTAAGTACCCTCACGTCGAACTCCAGCACTCCAAACGGAGCACTGCTGTTCGAATGTGGTTATATTTCGCTGGAATTTCTGTCTATGGGTGAATAGTCAATCTTCCATGTCTATTCTATACTCCCACTCTCTTCGATTTATACCTGATTTTCGCCTCTTTTGTAGCGAGAGTTCTTTGGAACCACCACGAAGTCAACTATGGTTAGTTCTGTGTCTGTCTTGGTTGTTTGTGTGGGGGGGGGGGGGAGGTATACAGATCTGCAACTGGAATGTTCATTGTCCCATTACATGGCTGCCTTTATGGTTTGGGAAACAGATCAGGCGGCTGTAGTACCAAACTGTATGAAAAAGGCAGCCAGGCAATGCATATTGTTTGCAAAGCTAAGTATGGCACTGTAAGTTTGCCTTTATTCCTCGCCGCAAGGGTCTGCTGCTGGTTTACTCTGAGGTGATGAGTGGTACATGTGATTTAGGAGAGGGTCCAAAAGAGAAGACCGACAACTGGAGAAAAGTGTCAGGTGTGTATCATGGGTTGAGGTCTGAAGGCAACAATTGCCTAGTCATAGAAAATTGTACAGGTAGCATTGGAAGGCTTGTCTGATTCTGAGAGTAATGAGATAAGCAAGCTCGAGACATGCCCAAGATGACGGATAATCCCAGCGGAAGAGTGCGTCCCTGACCTGGCATCTGTTGTCATGATACCCCAGATACATGCAAATTCTGATTTCGTGTCTAAGGCATGCTGGGCAGGAAATAATTTAGACAGGCTTTCGTTCTTTACAATGGTCTCATATAGACAGCTTCATTGTGCTTCAAGAAATGTGTGGTATGCTGAACGTATGATTATAGAGAAAGAAAAAGGAAAAATGAAGTTGAATTGTGGGATGAATATAACAAAGAGATGTGAATGTTACATGTTCTTAAACCAAATGATTGCTGAAATATATGCTCGCCCCTAATATTCAGGCCTTAAAAGCAATCAAGGTCTAGAAGCTAGACCGTGCGAACAAAGGAAAGAAAAAGAATATATATATATAAGGAAAGAAGGTGCGGACGTTGTCCTGCAGACATGTGTCTGGTGCTTGACGGCCCTGAGGCCTGCCAGGAGGTCGTATCAACGCTGTCCCACTGGGTTCCTTCCGCGACCTATGTACTGCATACTGAACTGTCTTCTATTTCAGTGCTCATCCGGGCTTGAAGAGTTGCTGTCGCTATCCCGAAGCTGCGTCTGTTTCTCTCACTCATTATATGTGCAGATCTGGCTCTGCTGTCCAAGGCACCAGGCTCTGTCCTTGACACCATCATTCTCTTTGTGCAATCAACCGATGCACTTTAGACTCGGGCTCGCGGCCGAGTGGCCGAAATCGTCCGGTAGAATCTCAAGGTGGGGGTTATACGTGACGGACGCCGTAGGTACTGAGCACAGGTGCCGAGTCCATCTCGGACCTTTATTCTTGCCCTTGTTGCGTCAGACGCGCATACGGTTGTGTACGATGGTTGCGCAGTCGTTTGCTGGCGATGAGTACGGTGGGGCGGGACGTTGATGTGGATGTGGATGTGGATGTGGGTGTTATCGTCTTGCAGATTACTGGAGATTGGTTTCAAGGAGTGCCGATACGAGTAGGGGGATGACGTCGCCGACCGTTGAGGGTCGTTGATAAGTATTCGACGCAGCGTTGGAACGATCTTAAGTGTTGCCTTCGAATGTGTTTGGTTCAATCAGTTGACATAGACCATAACCGCAAACGACATCAGACAGAAGCACAGTGGAATGTAGACCTTGCGATCCACATCCATATCCGTGCTAGCGAGTGACGAGGCCGAGGAAGGGGGGACGGAGCGGCTTGGGTTTCTGCGTGTGGACGATCTGGTAGATTTGTGGGCCATTTCCTGGATTTGAATAGTATAGACAAGAGTATCTGGGGTTGAAGTTATCTAAAAGAAGAAGAAGAAGAAGAGGATAGAGGAAGAGGAGGGGTTATGTGAGAAGGGGATAGATTCAACGTGGCGGTGATGATCAGCCCAACAACATTGCGGAGTGCATCCTCCGCCTCAAAAACATTCATTTCCCAACAAATCAGACTGGAATGTTTGGCCTTGTGATTTGATCAGCTGACTAAGGCTGCGCATTACTAAGGCCACCGAGGCAACTGAACTGGCTTGGTTGTTCTTGTTTGTTGATCCAACCAAGAATGGCGGGGTGAGTGGGGCTGCAACTTGGGCCCGCCAGCCACAAAGCCTTGTGAGATTGAGACGTGGTCTCAATTCTACGAATTCTGTACATCTCCTCGAGGCCGGTGGTTCGATTCCGTCTTCGGAGCCCTTCTTTTTTTTTTTTACCTTGCTCTCTCTCAACGTCTTCATTTTGACGTCAGGGAGATGTATTTTCAGTCGTCTGTCTTGGTCGCGCTTCGTAAGTTTTACTCATGTCTGGAGCTTGCTCTTGCCAGTGATCGCAAGAGCCCTCTGACTGGTTCTCCGTATGTGGGCGATAGCGCCCTGGTGATAGACCCCTGCTGATGTTTCAGACTCTTGAGCTGCAGGCGTTTATCCAAAATGACAAATGACCAATGTCTTCCTCCAGTAAGACGGGTTGATCCCAGATTACAATTCCCCTTAATCTATCCGCCCCAGCCTCACAATGACCATATGGGTACAACGTAGTACCACCTGTCATTTCCTGGGCGTTGGGATGGTACTTTGCAATTTCCCCATCATGATTATTGTTATTATTATTGTTGCTCCTTGTTATTTACGACCTTCTCATCAGTGAGACATTCCGACGTTCTGAGATGAATTAGCCAAGCAAGCTCTTGTATCTCTACAGCAGTATGTAGATAGTAAATAGTGGAGAGGGACAGTATTATTGCGCTGAATGACCTAAATGGACGATATTTGGTACCCAGATAGGTAGTTATCTTGAGGCCTGAAAATTATGCTCACCGTTTCTCCACATGGCAACCCACATCTTGATCATTCCGCGGCTCGGGACTGGCGAATTCGAAAACTCGCTGTCTTCGGATTGCGCATTCCCTTCGATCATGATGATGAGAGATCAACCGATCGTCTGCCGATTCCTTCTCCATGAGTTAATCTGACACTGAATCCTTGAACATTATATGATCATAATGATCCAACTTGGAATGTTATCATCTGTGGCAACTGAATCATAATAATGGAAAATTTTCAGGCCTGACCGACTAAAATTATCTCTGGCAGAGACATACTAAATATTAGCTAATGGTTAGTTAACTGTCTACGGAGTAGACGATACTACCCTGCACTGCAGTAGCGAGTCACTAGGACAATATGATTATTTTAGTAGATACTACTAGATGGAAACTAGTCCGTAGTCTGCCTAGACCAGGAGAGTTTTACTTTTTCCGTTGCCAACACAAGTTCGTATGGATGCAACCAGGGACCTGAACCAAACCACACCCGGACTAGGAAAATATCCTAGCGTGCTGGTGCCTATCTGCGGTCTGAGATGTCGCATCGCGGCTCAAACAATTCTTTTACCCCATTACCGAATAGGTAACTCGCTACCGCGCTGCTCGCTTACAGTTGCATCTTACTGTGGATCAAGTGAACTTGCCCCCGGTCGGTCAGACCGTCAGACAGAAGTCAGACACACTCAGATTCTTATGTTTGTAAATTTCTTCCGGCCGAATTTGGGCACATCCACATTCACTCCAGTCCACAAATGTTACGGCTCATGGCAAAAAATGGATCATGGCTGAGGTCATCATTCGCCTATGATCATGGGCTGATAGCCTGATACTATGCAGGAGGATGGATCCATTCTCCAGTTTTGTGATCCACCGGATCGGGGTGTCGGCTGGCCCCTCCATCGTCCGATCAATCACCGTGTCTGACCACATTCATCCGTAATGCAAGCTGACCTCTGAGCACTCAGTTCCTACCTTGGACCTCTTGAGTCTGAGACAGCGCGCTGGGTCATCAACCGGGGGACGATGCTAAGATCCTGCGCTCCCAATCAGAGGCGATTCTCGACTCGGTGGCAGGGTAAAAAGCCGACTATTAATACCATGGCTCCATAGCGACGACCCCTACTATCTTATAGTCCTTCGCCTTATGACTCTGAGTTTCGATCAATCCATGGCGCATACTCAGCCTCCCCAAGTAAACTAGACTAGCTCACGGCTGCCTCCCCTTTAATCGACAGGAACCAGGCGACTATTTACTGCGGTCGATTCCCCCCGTCCTTCTATCAACGTAATCCATCTCAATACCTCTTGTTCTCTGTAAAGAGCTTCCTGTCGTTTTCTGAAGTTTTATATCATTCACTTCCAGTCGTTACTTTCAAAAGTCTGAACACATCATCATCTGCTACACAGTTCTCTTCATTTAACACCAGCGCTCGTTTACCCTGCATAACGCAGACATGTATTTCAAGTACGCAGCAGCAGCCCTGACTGCGGTGCTCCCTCTTTGCTCTGCACAGACTTGGTCAAAGTGCAATCCCCTCGAGAGTGAGTCTTTCTATTGCTGCATATGATATAACATCTTATCTGACGATTGTTTTGCAGAGACCTGCCCGTCCAACAAGGGTCTTGCCGCATCCACCTACACTGCCGACTTCACCTCAGATTCAGCTTTGGATCAATGGAAAGTCACCGCAGGCAAAGTTCCCCTTGGCCCCCAGGGCGCCGAGTTCGCTGTCGCTAAGAAGGGTGACTCGCCTACCATTGACACCGACTTCTACTTCTTCTTCGGAAAGGCCGAAGTGGTGATGAAGGCCGCTCCTGGTACAGGCGTTGTTAGCAGCATCGTCCTGGAGTCGGATGATCTGGATGAGATTGACTGGGTATGCCTGCTTGTTTTTTTTCTTTCTTAACGTTCTCCTTGAAAAACTGGACTAACAAAAAGCGCAGGAAGTATTGGGCGGTGATACCACTCAGGTCCAGACAAACTACTTCGGTAAAGGCGATACCACCACATATGATCGAGGCACCTATGTGCCCGTTGCCACTCCTCAGGAGACTTTCCACACCTACACCATCGACTGGACCAAGGATGCGGTTACCTGGTCTATCAACGGCGCGGTCGTGCGTACGCTCACGTCCAACGATGCCAAGGGTGGCACTCGCTTCCCTCAGACTCCTATGCGCCTGAGACTCGGCACCTGGGCCGGCGGCGACCCCAGCAACCCCAAGGGTACCATCGAGTGGGCCGGTGGCTTGACCGACTACGGTGCGGGACCCTACACCATGTACGTCAAGTCCGTCCGCATCGAGAACGCCAACCCCGCCGAGTCCTACACCTACTCCGACAACACTGGCTCTTGGCAGAGCATCAAGTTCGACGGCGCCGTCGATACCTCGCCCAGCCCTTCCGTGACCTCGACCACCAGCACCGCCAGCTCTACCTCGACCAAGAGCCCTTCCACCTCCACCCTGGCCACTTCCACCAAGGCTACCCCACCCCTTCTGGAACCACCTCTGGCTCTAACTCGAGCTCCAGCTCTTCTACTGGCTCGGGATCCACCACCACCGGTGGTAGCAGCAGCGGCAGCGGCAGCAGCAACACCGGCTCCGGCTCTGGCTCTAGCTCCTCCACGAGCGCCGGAGCCTCCGTCACCCCCGAGCTCTCCCAGGGCGCCGCCGGCACCATCAAGGGTTCGGTCGCAGCCTGCGCCCTGGTGTTCGGCGCGGTCGCTGCCGTGTTGGCATTCTAAACACAAAATGACCCTTTTGGTTTAATGCACGATACACATAATGAAGGGGGGAACGTCACAAGTACAGATTTGGGAATCGGGGTTTCACCATCGTTGGAGTCTTGATACTCCATCGTTCTTGTATTTGATCTCATTCTATGCCCATACCTATTCCTTATACCCCGTACATACAACATGCTACATATTTAATGAACTACGCTACCTTTCTGGGGAGTTTCTTTCGCTCTGTGACTTGGACACACCAACTCCGTCGTAGATATTTCAATTGAAATATAATTATCGATCGTCAATAGTAACAGTAATGATAACGCAGCTTGCCTACTGTCTTGCAGTGATGCAAACTTGAAATCTCATTCATATACTCGTCGCGAACGTTAAATTGCTGATGCTATGCTTGCTATGCTTATACCAAATTACCCTTCTTCCTTTGGAGGTTCTGCAGATCGATATATAATCTCCGAATTAGATCAGCTACAGGTCGATGGTGATCCGTCGCCTGCCGAAGCAAGTCGGACAGATTCGTGTCCCCACGCGTCTTCGCCATTGAGGTCTCGTCCTCGCCAGTATGGACTGAAGACCTGGCGGTAAACGGCACGATTGCGTCAATGAAAGCCCAAATACCCTTACCGTTGCCGTTGCTAGGGCCGTCCCCGTCGGTTGTCTCAAACTCACCAGGTGAAGAAGGGGCGCGCATCTCCCTCTGCACAATCTCCTGGATAGACTCGAGATGGTCGTCCAGCGTGGCAAAGTCCCCGCACAGCGCCTCGGCCTTGGACTGCATGCGTGCAGTGAGCTGGTCGAGGTACGCTTCCCGTCGGGCGAGTTGGGTCGAGAGTCTGGCGTCCTGGGCGACGGAGCGGCTGCCGCTTCGGCCGGTGCCGGTAGTGTCGTCGGTGGCTGCGGTTGCGAGGAGGCTATCCATTGCGGAGTTGAT